TACATTTAAAAATTATTAAAATATATTTTTTATTAAATCTAAAAATGATAATCCTTTTATTTTATTTTATTTTGAAATTTAAATTCAAAAATATACATTATAAATCTAGTTAGCATTATAAATCTAGTTATTAAAAATGTATGAGATTGTTGAAGATAGCGAAATTTCTTTGGAAAATGAGAAAAATATAGATTATCCTTTCCCAAAATTCAAAAAATAATTTAATCTTGAAGAAAAATTTACTACTGGATATCGGTTTCGATGCAAGACGTGTCGCAAAATTTTATCCTCAAATCATACAAGCCGCTTTAATTTGAAAAAACATTTAAAGCTAATATATTAAACAAATTTAATATCAATGTGTAGGCTAATCCTTAATTTTAAAAATAAATTTAAAACAAAGACCAATCATTTTTTTTATATATTCAATTTTATCTAAATTATTTAAAACATCTTAAAATAGTATTTTAATCATTTTTATCTACTATCTCCTACATATTTTTTATTATAAGTATTACTGTTATAATTTTAGACTGTTCAGACCTCAAATTATAAAGAGATTAAAAAATATCTCAAAAGTTTTGGGGTAATGGAAGGAGATACTTTCCAAATCAAATTTAATTCAAACAAAATTAAGCAATTTGGATTCATCAACACCAGGTGTATCTCAAAAATTGACTGACGAAGTCATAATGAACTTTATAATCAATACTATTCAACCATTATCTGTGATGGATAATGGTTCTTTTATAAAGATGATAAACACTTTTTCTCCACGTACCAAGATATTTTGCCGGCAGACATTGATGGCAAGAATTTTGGATAGCTTTATAGAAAGAAAGAATCTTTAATATTAAATCTATCATATGTCTCCTACATCAGTACAACATCAGATTGTTGTACGCACAATAGAAGGTAAAAATGTTTATTTTCTGATTTAAAATATGATATTCATATTTTTATAGCTTATTTAGGAGTGACCACACATTGGATATATCCAAAAAATCTAAAACTGAATCTAAAGTGCAAGTTGATAGGCTGATGGTAACGTTAAAAAATGCCATGCCTAACCACGATACTAATACTATAACAAGATCGAAACCGCGGCCCTCCATAGACGATTTTTTTGAAATAAATAATAATAATAATATTATTGAACCTCTAGGTGCTTTTTTAAATCTAAAAATACTCATTTTTGATAATTTCTTTCATATAAAAAGTGTAATAAATTTAATACTGCGTTGCGCTCGTGCTGAACGATTATTTAGTATGGCAAAGCTTATACTTTCTGATCGTCGCTCTAGACTGGGATGACAGTACCGAAATGTTATTATTATTAAAGGGCAATAATAAATAAATGATATATAACAAATTATAGTCATGTTTTTATACCAATATTTTATTTGTGGAAATAAAGTTGCGTAAAAAATATTTAAAAAAAAAATCAAAATAACTTTTTTTAAAGTAGCTAATAGCGTGCTATTCATTTGAAAATGATAGCGGTAGCGATAGCGTGCTACTTTTAAAAATACAGAAGAACAACAATGTGCATTGAATGCACTGAATAAATGCCTAATATTATACATATTCCCAAGTATATCCAAAAAATTTATTGAATCAATAAACAGTTGGAAAACTAATAATAACTTTTATTTTGAAAGATGATTTTTCCATAAAATATATATAAATTATTATATTTATAGGAATATTTTTATTAATAACTATAGGGTTGATCTAGCTATTATTCAATAATAAATAACAAATAATAGTAACATAATGTACAACATTTGACATAGGGATAGCAATATTATTAAGGTATGATGCAGTTAATTTTATATACATATATAAAATTATACTGTTCCCAGATGTCAATTTTTAGTAATTTATGTTCTGTGTCCAAAAATGTTTTAAAAAAATCCTTAAAATTTTCCAAATTAATAACAACATTTTGGACACATTTAAGTTTTAGAAAAATTAAAATATTCAAAATGTTTGATATGATTCAATTATTAGTTATTTATTAAAAGATATGCAAATATTTAGTTGTATTTATTATTATATATTACCTTTCAGTTATTAAACTTTGTATGAACCTATTATTTGATAATGGTTATATTTACATTTTATTTATATACTTAATAAATAAATATATGTTGTAAATAATTGTAGCCATATTTAATAAACTGGAAAACTAATAATAACTTTTATTTTGAAAGATAATTTTTCCATAAAATATATATAAATTATTATATTTGAGTTTAATAAAATTATATTAGAAATGATATAGGAAAGGAATATTTTTATTAATAACTATAGGGTTGATCTAGCTATTATTCAATAATAAATAACAAATAATAGTAATATAATGTACGAGTTGGCCATGACACTCACGATGTTAACTCATATCGGAATTTATCATGTTAGATAAATTGATATAACAAAAACACTAAAAATCTTTAGAAGAAATTATGTAAATATAATAAAGCCTTAAGTTATTTACACGGCAAGGATGCCATATTGGAAATGAAACATTTTAACCAGAGTGATATGATGAAAGCAATTAAGATTTTATTAATTAATATCGCACAACCTCTAATAGGTATATTGTATCTTAAAATAATAGTAATTTGTAATAATATCATAAATTTACTCGTATTCAAAATTTAACTTAAAAACTGTTTTTCAAAGAAGAAAAAAATGGCTTTCCTAAAAACACGTAAAAATAGGGAAGAAAAATATTTCGTTTATTACATCTATTGTGGGATGAATATTAAGATGTTTAATTTTAAAATAAATAGATGGCGTTAAAGAATTGATTAATTGACTTATATTTATTATGAAGAGCCAGAATAAGTAAGATTTATTAAAATATAAACTGTAATATATTATATAACAAACAAATACGTCTGTAAAAGTGGCATTTTACCTAATATTTTACAACCAATTATATATAATAAGGGATTATAAACTTTATGTCTACTTTTTATAAAGAAATCTCCTATACTTATTTGGACCTTGAAAATATTTTTAAGAAGAGACATGGTAATCAAATTTAAAAATGATATTTGATTAGTGATTTTGAACTAGGCAAATTACAATATTAAATTTGTTAAATTTAAATTAATGAATCAATATATTTATTTAATTAGGGATATATAATAATTTAAATAATAAAAGTCAATTAAGCTTCAACTGTTGATGCTAAATTAATATATAGTGACTGATATTGATATTCAATTTTTAACACAGAATTTGATTGCAAGCTGACATAGTGAAAATATTATTTATATGTATTAATCTAATCTAAACATTAAAATAGTATTCATTTAATAAAAATTTAGATAGTCATATTAATTTTTAAATAATAAAATTAAATCTACATATTACGTAATAGAATTATAAAAGAAATTGATCAGGGGGCAATCAAAACAATTTATTCTTAGTTTAAGGGGGGTATTAAGGAGCCATTAAAAAAATTTTGCTTCAGTGGACTATTCAAATTTTTCAGAGGGCTTGAGCCCCTTCGCGCTCCTCCCTAGTGACGTCACTGGATATATCCTAGTACATTTACCATTTTTGCTTAATGCCTTTATATGTTTTTAAAAAATCATCAAACTCAAAACTATAGCATAATTCCCACAAATGAACAATTCAGTTAATTATAACAAAAGTATTAAAAATTAGCATTTTCTCTTCACTTCTATATTTAATTATATATTTTAAGTATTAAATGACCAAAACTAAATAAGTTGCTTGGGGTTGAGAAAAAATTTCCTTTTTGTCAAAACAATTTAAAACTTTCAATCTATATTATTTGTTCATGATATATTTTTCAAAATGCGAATGTGTTTCACAAACGCTCATTCTTGAAGCTATCTATTAGAAGGGAATGCATGAAGTGGCTCAGTCCCCTCTTAAAATTTGATTAATTTCTCAAACCCATTGTCATCAGCACAATTATTTAATAATATTTTATCATTTCGCGGCAATAATTATGTGATATATTTATAACAAAAATAATTTTAAAATATTTTATTGTCAATTGACCTCATACACCAAACTCAATTTATATTAGAGGTAAAAAAACAGTTATACCAATAATAAACAGGCCATATATGATCAAAAATATTAATATCTTGAAAATTCTCATTGCGTTAACATGGGCGTATCAATTTATTTGATACAATCATTCAATGAATAACTTATCTGGACCAAGAATTCTGTCTAGCTAGATTTTGAATTGTCAATTTAAACCTCAAGATTTCGCAAATATACATAGAAACGTTTGATTGACTTTTCACCAAATCTCAAGGTTAAGGCAGCGTCTACATGACAGGATTTTCACTGGATGCAAACCCCCTTCAAAAACCTTTGCCTACCCCCCTAAAAAATTCCCTTACCTATTTATTTATTGATACTCTTTTCAAAGATAAAGGATAACTTAAATTAATCTATCTCTACTACCAACTATCGATATTTTATGAATATAAAGAATTTATTTTTTAGATAATAAATTCAATTAAAATCTCCATTATTTACAATGAATTTATTATTATGGCATTATGAGCTGGCTGATATATCTAAACCATTTAAATTACATTTAAAAGGATATTTTATTTGGAAAACAATGTGTATGATTATTTGCAATATATAGATTTGGTCGATGAATTGTATTATAATAATACTATAATAAAAGTATTAATTTTTACAGCAATAAATTTTGTCCTATTTCATCTCAAAATTTAATAGATTACCCCCCCAAAAATTTATCCTACCCCCATTAAAGAAGCTTACCCCATAACCCCTCAAAAAAATAGGATGCAAACTGTTCCTACCCCTCCCGCTCATGTAGACGCTGGGCTTAGGTAATATTAATTTGACGAAAATATTAATTTAACCATTTTTAAAAAGTGAATGTAACTTAAACTTATCAAATATCACATGATATATGATAAGACAGGTGTAAATTTGATTTTTATTCATTTAAATTATATGACGGATTCTTTGATAAATATTACTGATGAATTGTATACTAAAACTATTTCATCTGTTATAAGTTCTATATTGGTTAATGTTGGCTTTACTAAATGTGAGCCAAAAGTGTTATCCATATTTAATGAAATGTTGCAATCTTTGTTGATTGAAACTGGTAGGTTGTCAAGGAATTTTGCTGAACATGCATGTAGAACAAAACCTGTATTCGCTGATGTCTTATTGGCCTTAGTAGAAATGGGTTCATATTGAATTATATTATTTGTTTATACTTTATGTGTAGGCATTGATGTTATGGGAATACCAGAGTTTACATTAAAGGAAGGAAATAAGATTGTTCTTCCACCTTGTAAGCTAAACCATTTTATTATATATATATGTTTGATATACAGTACAACATCAAAATAAGCCAGCAGACTTAAAAACTCTAAAGAGTGGACCTAGAGAACACTTTTCATATATCCCTGAATATTTTCCTGAGTTACCCGATAAGAGAACCTATATAAATACTCCTGTAATATTTATAGATACCCATATTAATCATGATTACCTATTTTATTTGAATATGTATTTTATGTTGAATACTTATTTTATAAGAATATATATTTAATTATCAACCTATATATCAAAATTCCTGATACCAGTTAATCTAAAATATAATTAATCAATCCTTGCTTAAGCATTTTTGAAACATAATGACTCCTCTTTACCCCAGCCAATGACACTGACTTGCCTGATTCCTTTTAAAATCTGATTAGACTGATCTTAACAAAAAAAAATTATTGGTCCAGAAGAATTCCACCTAAAAGAAAAATTATTTGCCTCCCTGGCCCAAATTTATTTAAATATAGATATTAATTATTTTCCAATATAGTTTTACTCTGTACATAATCAAGTTTTCGATCATTCTACTAACAAATAAAAAATATTGGTGCCTTGTTTCTTACAAATTTTTCAAAACAATATTATGCCCAACCCAAAGCAATTTTTTTTTAAATAAAGGCCAAGGATGCTGCTACTATGAATTCAGCCTTACACTTTTACGTTTTATTATACTCTTTATTAAATGTGTTTTATATATCTTTATTAAGGCTATGCCAATTCACATATTTTTCACCGATCCAATCCTATATTGGTTCAAAACCGATCCGATATTAATACTGATTTTTACCATCCACCTTTGAACCAAATGTAATTAAGAAATCATTATTTTTTATGCAAAAAATCGAATTATGTATTTAATTAAATTTTTTATTTCTACAATTAAGATTATATTTAAGTAAATTATAATAATTAGGGCTGTGCCAATCCACATATTTTTCACCGATCCGATACGATACGATATTTATACTGATTTTTAATCGCCCCCGTTTGAACCAAATGTAGTTAAGAAATCAATATTTTTTATGCAAAAAGTCGAATTATGAATTTAATTTAATTATTTTATTTCTACAATTAAGACTATAATATGGTTGAATTATAAAATTGTAATATTTAATATATAAAATTATACGATATGGACTATCTATATCTCCTGCCGTACTGAAGGACTTAGATGATTCCACAGATAACGCATTTTGCAAAATTATCTTTGTCTTTTGTAAAATATTTCCATAATTCAGATACCATATTTAAAAAATTTTTTTTATTTAAAGTATAAATAAAAAAATTGGCATTATCTAAAAAGATTTAAAATAAATAAAACTTTGGGTATTCCTTTCTATTTTTATAAAAAAAAAAACTATTAAAATACTATAAATCTATTTTAAAAAAGAAATAAAATTTAAAAAAATTATTTAGAAAATATTACAATAATGTAAAATAAATATACATAAAATAAAATAACAAAAAAAAGAAAAGTAAAAAGGTCGGATCGGTTTTTTACAGGTATCGGCCCGATCCGATATTTAATATCGGCACAGCCCTAATAATAATAGATAAAAAATGTATATTTAATAATATATCCATTTTATGTTGGTATGAATTATAACATTGTAATATTTAATATATTAAAAATTTTTAATAAATAATTTCTCCCCGTGAAATTTGAATTCCGCAGATAACGCATTTTACAAAATTATCTTTTATCTTTTGTAAAATATTTTCATAATTCAGATACCATATTTTTAAAAATTCTTTTATTTATAGTATAAATAATAAAATTGGCGTTATTATTTAAAAAGATTTAAAATAAATAAAACTTTGGGTGTTACTTTTTTTTTATAAAAAAAAAACTTTTAAAATACTATAAATCTAGTTAAAAAAATAAATAAATTTTATGGGGTGTTGTGCATTTGCATTGTTTAAAAAAAAATAATTTAGAAAATATTATAATAATGTAAAATAATTTAGTGATCTGCATCGGACCTAATTTTTCAAACCCGGCCCGGCTTGAAATTTTTTTTAGAAAGTTGCATTAGTGAATACCAGAGTTGTTAAAAGATACTTTTTAAATGGATCTAGATACAGATACATACCGGACCCGAACTCAAATTTTTATTTTAAAAAATTTTACAGGCCCCACCTGGCCAGAATTTATTTAAAAATAGAAATTGATTTTTATAATTACTCAAAATAAAAGGTATATGTTATATGACGTCAAGTTTTCTATTAATAAAATCAAATATTTTTATTGTAAAAAATTCAACATAAAAAATTGATAAATTTAGATATATTGCCCGAATATTTTTAACCAATTTTTATCAAAAAAATAGGCTCAGCCGAAACCCGTTCGGGCCGGGTACGGGCCGCGCCTACTTTTGCAGATCTAAAATAAATATACATAACATAAAATAACAAATGTAAAATAAATGAACAAAAAAAAATGAAAAGTAAATAGATCGGATCGGGTTTTTACGAGTATCGACCCGATCCGATATTTTGGAAAACGCTAAATATCGGTGCCGATCCGATATTTAATATGAGCACAGCCCCTAATCTTTAAAATTTATATCATCTCCCTCCTTTTTTTATTATAAGAATAAGAGTTAGTAAAATAATATCCTCATAAATTGAATGTAAACATAAAATAAACATTATTATCATTGACATTTTTTTTAGGTGAATAATTCTGAAAATGCCGATGACGAAACTGAGGTTTCCAGGGAACGTGCTATTTCTGAAAAACGAGACATCGAAAAGGCATATACCAGATTCCTAGCAAAAATTGGCCCATCCTTCTCTTTGTTCGAGGATGATCATAGTGACAAATTTTTAAGTTTTAATTCATAATTATCATTTTATTTTTGTTTGTACCTTTAAAAAGTAATCTAGAATTTCCAAGCAATGCCAAAATAATGTTTATGAGCATTTGAAGATTTTTTTCACCCAAAAATAAGAATCACAAGCTATAAAGTTTATTCAAATTTTTTTTTTGGAATTTTGGGAAATATTTGGAAAATATATTTAAATATTTAAAACTCAGTCCCAATTTTCTATAAAAACTAATCTAGCCCAAAATCTGTATAGGTTGGTCCTACTTTTGCAGATCTTAGTAACTTATCTCGATTTATTTCATGAATAAAGATATGTAGTATTTTCAACAAAAAATATTCATAAAGTGTCTAATTTGCTCCACTTGCAATTTAATATTATAAAATAAATTGCTCACAAAAATTTTCCATTAATTAAACAATATTTGAAAAAAAAATATTAAGTAATGGATGACAAATCGCTCCTCTCGGTTAACAGGATACCAGCTTATGTTCCAGCACTTTTAGGAAAATATTCTTATGGAATCTTTGAAGATGTAGAGCAATCAGGTGAAAATGGGGATATAGCGACTAGGTGATATATATTTTTTTAAGCCATTTTTATTACATTGATATATGTATATGATGTTTATTAGAATATTTAAATTAAAATATGCAAATATTCGTAAATAACTGCCTGATTATTATAAGGTTCTATTTATACTTATGGATAAAATTGAGTTATTGGCAAAAAATTATTATCGGGATAGGGAGGGAGGAGTCCTTTCCAGCTGTTTGTATTTAGACATAAGATTTATTTATAGTTCTAACCTGTTTTTACCCAATTTTTTTTTTTATTATTATAGATAATACTATTAGCGAAACTAGCGTTTTTTCATGTAATAAGCTAATCAATTATTTTTAAAATTTAAATAGTGGTCTGGTTAAATATAACGTCCAATTCAAGTTACAATTGTGATTGCTGAAAAAAAGTTAGTGGCTTGAATGTTTTGCCTTTCATGGTACCCGAAATAAGAAAAATTTAATTTAAATACTCTGGCCTACATCTTCACTCACCCTTATCTTTCATTCCCCTCGTTATCTACTTTTCATCTTCATAAATATGAAATTTCCTGCTCTCTAACTCCTCAACCTTCATCCTCCCTAATCTCTTACACTATTCTAAGGCTGAGAACCTAACCCTTTTTTTTTAAATTTAAGGTTCAAAAAAATATATTTTTTTAAACATATTAAAAATTTCCGTTACATTTTGTAAATTATTCTATCATATTCATAGATAATAATATATTTTAGGAAATATTTATTTTTGTTGGTTGGATTATTAAATTAAAAATAAGAACAAAGTAAATTAGTTTTATTAAATACAAGTTGCAAATGCATTGGCAGATAATCTTGAGGATAATTATGATGATTTTGAAAATTTTGTTTTTAGAAAAAGAAAAGAAAACTTGATATACAACATGAAAATAGAAGAAATATATTCTCATGCATTAAATGAATTAATTGGGATTTAAATTTGTTATCTACATTAGCCCTAATTTTTTCAAGACCAGCCCGAAATTTAAGAGTGAAAAATTAGTCTTGAATGGCCCGATCCCGAACGAATTTTTTTTATTTGTCACGAAAAGCCCATCCCTAAATTAGAATCATTTGTCATCCAACGCTTAATGGTTTCGTTCCTTATCCATACATGTTGACCAACGTCAAATTCCTTAACACTGGAATGTGTGTCATGTTCTCGACTTTGTTTATCAATGGATTTATTAATCTTATTTCCCACCTCTGGTCTAGCCCAATTTATTTCTAAAATCACATTTTTAATTAATAATTCTTTATTTTTTCATTATTATGTTATAAACTCCTATCTAAATTCCAAGAAACATTTTTTTAAGAATGATCTCCCTGAAAAAATTATAAACTTAGTAAACGAATTCTATAAAAAGAATTCGTCAAATCGCTTCTCTTATTTGATGGTCTTAAAGGTAGAAGCCTATAATAAATAATTCAAGCAACAAAATATTGATTATATTGGAAATATATTTCATTGATTTCTTCCCTATTAGAGCTGAACAAATACCCTATCTAACTGTCATACATTTTTAATATTCATAATATTTTACAAAGTTCACTCTTTAGCTTATCTACCAACTTGAATACCGCCAAATCGATCGACAAGAAAAAGAAGAAAGTGGCATTTACTAGCACTCCTTTCGAAGAATCGTATCTCTATCCTAAAAACATTTCGCTTCCCGGTGACGTTGTTAATTGTAATCAACATTTTACATTAAATATTTAGATTTTTCCTCCAATGTCTTATGACGTTAATTCGTGGCGTAATATATTTAAAAAAAATTAATAGGTTCATTATCATATTTATACAAAATTTAATTTCTTAATTATCATCAAAATTTGGAACCTGTAAAAAAAGGTCTATTTCCGGTTCTGAATAGCTAAAAAAAACATGGTTCTATTTCCTGAACTTTTGTGATGGATTCTGGTTCCAATTTTTACAGTTGACTTAGAAAGGCGATATGGTGTTGTTAAACGGCTCGATTTGAGTCGATTTTTAAAAACGACTAACTCAATATTTTATCCAGAATAATATTGCATAAGCCTGAAGAGTTTGCTCATAAATGACACAAAGGTCTAGACACTTATTTAGCGAAATCTCGAGGCTTAGGCAACCTTTTTCTGGCTAAAATATTGAGTTAACCGTTTTAAAAAAAAACAACACTAAGGCGATAAACATACCCGAATGTGTTTTAACTAGGAGAGAAATACACTTTAAAATCAAATATAAAATGGAAGATTTTATTTTTTTTTAAGAATGCTCAAATAAGATTTATGATCAAATTTTACCTTAAAAGTTCCAATTTTTGTAAAAAATAAATTTTTTAGTAGAGAATTATTTTCGCGGAAATAAATCGAACACTGAATACATCATATATATATTTTTTTATATTATTACATTCTCCGCATAATTTTTGTGTTTCCCCCATGATTTCATTTGATTAATTTGAGATTCGTTAAATCAATATCGAAATTCTACACTCGACTGTGGAAGCTCACATATCTGGATCTAAGTTAGCTAGAGCTCCAAAATTTATTTGGGTAACAAAAAAAAAATTTTTACAATTAGTATGTGAACCTCCAATCCCTTTTTTTTATATTATAGTGTCCAAGTTTTTTGGGGTCGATTTATAATATCCAAATTTTGACGTTCACTATATAAACTATATTAAAGATGTCTAAAATTAAGACAAAAAAATAGGAATATATAAACTTTATCGCATTTAATTTCAATTTTAAATTTCCCAATATTTTTTTTTATCCAAAGAGCAATTTCTTGATGGCGTCTATGAATGGCTGCACCAGTCCTATCACTAGGACTTTATTTGGTCCTTTTCGAATTTGTGCTGACCCAAGGATCCTTCGCTCTAATAAACGATTACCCATTATTAGTGTTTATTATATTAATAGGGGGGAGCGTTTATTTTTTAATTATAGGGGGTTGATTAAGAAATTCGAAATTTTCTATATTAGGGGGTATGCGAGCGGTAAGACAAGCTGTTTCTTACGAGTTAATTATAAGATTTATTTTTTTACTAATAGGATTAGTGGTAATAAGTTATGAGTTTGAAGAATTTATAACTCCTATAAATATATACGGGTATATATTTATATATCTATTAGTTTCCTTTTTGATTTGTTCATTAGCTGAGATAAATCAAACTCCTTTTGATTTAATGGAAGGTGAATCTGAGTTGGTATCAGGTTTTAATGTTGAGTTTTATTCGGGATTTTTTGCTCTAATTTTTATAGCTGAGTATATTTCAATTATGTTATTTTTACTACTTGTGAGAGTCATATGACTCTCACAAGTAGTCAGCTGTGATAAGATTTATAGTGATTATCGGCTTTTCTAGATTATTTTCACTTATATTTTTGTTTATTCGAGCTTCATATCCTCGAGTTCGATATGATAAATTAATAAAGTTTTCGTGGGGGGAGTTATTACCTTATATTATAATTATAAGATTGTGAATTTTAATGGTTTGATAGTTAAGGTACTATAGTAAGCTTTTTGATAGAAAGCTTTAGTTATTTAGTAACTAGTACCGGTTTTTAATTTTTGGAAGGTAATTACGCCAGGCCTTAAAGGGAGGGGATGCCAGAAAATAATTTTAATGATATACCCCCTTTTAAAATTTTAAACTATTTAAAAATTAGATTGCAAATCTTATATTGCTGAAACTTATCAGCAGATAGAGGAATTATTAATTACCTTCCAAAAATTAATAATACATTTTTGGAAGGTAATTACGCCAGGCCTTAAAGGGAGGGGATGCCAGAAAATAATTTTAATGATATACCCCCTTTTAAAATTTTAGTTTTTAATTCAGAGTATAAATATATAAATAATAATTTTAATTAACTTAAACTAAATTAAAACTATCTGCTGAAACTTATCAGCAGATAGAGGAATTATTAATTACCTTCCAAAAATTAAAAATACGTATTTTTAATTTTTGGAAGGTAATTACGCCAGGCCTTAAAGGGAGGGGATGCCAGAAAATAATTTTAATGATATATACCCCCTTTTAAAATTTTAAACTATTTAAAAATTAGATTGCAAATCTTATATTGCTGAAACTTATCAGCAGATAGAGGAATTATTAATTACCTTCCAAAAATTAAAAATACGTATTTTTAATTTTTGGAAGGTAATCACGCCAGGCCTTAAAGGGAGGGGATGCCAGAAAATAATTTTAATAATATACCCCCTTTTAAAATTTTAGTTTTTAATTCAGAGTAAAATATATAAATAATAATTTTAATTAACTTAAACTAAATTTAGAGGAATTATTAATTACCTTCCAAAAATTAAAAATATTTACACCATATTTGCCGCGTGATTTCGAATGTGTGAGATTTCAAAATATCACGTCTTTCACTTCACCTGTTACACTAAAAATTTCTTCTTTTTTTTAATCAAATATTATGTATTCATAAATAAAGCCTTACAAGAATGTACTGATAGCCCCTCAGCATCGAACAACATCAAAACTGAGGAAATCACCTTACATAAGGGCGATAATAATGAAAGCTTCACGAATAGCCATAATATCGAAGCTAATAATAACGAAATCGACTTGGATATAGATATGAGCTCTCACGTCAGAAGAGTTGGGGTAGATGCGAATAGCGTGGAATCGCTCATGGAAGACAATCCCTACGTTAGGTTCTACGAAAAACACAAAAAGGCTTATGTGCCTTCGTAAATATTTCCCTATTATACTTTCTTTTTACATACAAAAGTTTTGTTTCATGTATAAGGACTCTTAAAATATTTTATCTAAATTATTTATATTTGTTTATATTATAATTAATATTTATTAATAAAAATATACATTTTAATTATAAAAATATAACGCGATTTTTATATTATTGTCTTTATATAATATAGAATATCAGAGATGTCACATAATTTTATGTAGTATTTATTTAGGGGGACTTAAAGGCTAACTGTACATTTTTTTAGTAATTTTACATTTATTAATTTTTTTAAAGGTGATTTGATAATTAAGCACCCCGCCGCCAGTCCCTTCTGATGCTAATGTGGCATATGCGCGATTCAATAAATATTTTTATATATTGCTACACATTGCCGCCTAATATTTTTGAACAAAATGTTTTGACCAGATTTTTAAATTCGTCTGATAGTACAAAAAATTATATCGTCTAAATTTCGATTCATTACCCATTTACATTTATTATTTAGTTTTTTTCCCCTAAAAACTAGTTTCATTAATTCACAATCACACTCATTTATTATAGGTTTAAGTTGTAAGATTGATTTTTTTGCCAAATTCAAATTTTGCTCGTAAAATCCGCGATTATTAGCTTGACATCTTCACAGCCAAATTGCGCGAATTAGCAAAAATTGATATTTTTAAGTCTCATTATTATAATATCAATTGAAATATCTTTTTCGACTATTTTTATATAAAAAGTTTTAAATTACGGATATAAGTAAAAATTTAAGCGAAACTAATATATCGAACTTACAGCTTTTAACCAGATATCCAATCCAACTGAACCTGTGTTTAAAATGTTGTCTCTAAAAGAATGTCGGTAAACCAGTTTGAACTATACTGTTTTAAGGATCAGTATTAGTCAATTTTGATTGGTTGGTCAGTATCAGTCGTCTATAGAATATATATTAATATTATAGTTAATAAATAATCGCGGTTTGTGTTGCGATTATTAAATTAGTGTGCAATAATAATACAATGTGTATGAGATTTAGTGACAAAATTTTAAATTGTATTTTTATATATTTTAATAAGCTTGTATACGAAAGAGTTGGATTCAGTTTTTAAATTTTCAACCCCAACAATTTTAAATAGAACCCGAAACCGTTATTTTTATATTGTAATGTTTAAAAGATAGTATTTTATTTTTATAAAAATTTTGAATTTTAATCTATTTTTAAAAAGTTATTGTTGTATTCTCATAATGTAAATATCTTACAGATATATTAACTTCGAAGGAGCTATTTTGATTATTATTATTACATTGAAAAAGAAATTGTAAAAAAAGGATCATTCATTGATGTGTAAAGTTTTAAATAAATAAAATGCTTCTGTTCGTTAAGAAAACCACCTATGCTAGTTTCAGAAAGGTAAATCAATTCGGACGCATTATGAGATAAGCGATATCCTGAATAACCCATAAGGTCACCACGCCAATCGAAAACCTTTTTTTTGCATTAATAAAAATCGACATGTTCAGATATTTTATAAAAGATACTTAAAAATTTCCATCCTGGGAAGAAAGTCAGGCCATTAATATAATAGGATCGAGCGATATGAGCTCAATTTTGATAATTTCAATTTGGTGAGCATAAAATTGTAACAATGTGAGGCACAGCACTATATAAAAGAAACATTAGTTAATTTGAATACATTAATGTAAAAATAAATTGATGTAAATAAAGGATTAGTTATTTTGAATACATTAATATAAAATTATTTACAAAATAAATTGATAAAACAAAAACGAAAAAAATACTTTTAATTCGAATGTTGTTTTAAACGAATTTAATTTATAAATTTTTCTTTATTTAACAAAAATCACTTTAATTAAAATACCGCTGATTTTTTTTACTTATAAAAATATACATCAAATTTATTATTCCTTTTTACAGAATAATAATTTGATTGTTTGATACTTCTAGAACATATTTTACATAAACTGGATCATTGATTTTTCTGATAATATTATACAAATACTTTCGTATTTCAAATATTATTAATAATTTATTTTTTGGATACTAGCAAAACGTTTGGACCTTTAAAATGAATACTAGAAACAAAAAATTTTGTACACCAACGCCTGTTCCATCTAGGGCGGTTATATCCATTGCTGCTTAATAATAGAGATACCCCAAATATTAGACTGCATCCGGTTCATCCAATCATTTTTTCCCCAAAATGTTAGTGTATCTTCTACTATTTTGGCTGAGCAAAGGATAAAATTATTGTTCTAAATCGCTGTTATTATAATCATTGCTTGAAAGGAAATTCCTACGAGCTATTTTAGCTATATATGAAATGGATATGTGACCATTATCTTCAACTGAATCCACTCTGTGCATTTCTATCATGTTTTAATGTTTTAATTGTCTAATTAAAAATTGCAATTGTCGTAGAATTTGAATATAAATATTCAGAAACAATAGATTTTGAAATCTTAGATCAAGTAGTGTCGCTAATATCTTATGTTTAAAATACAATTTTATAGTTTTCATATTATAAATATGTTTATGCAATGTAATCTATATTATAAGCGTCAACAGAGATCTCAAAATTTCATCAAGGTATGGATCAAAATCATTAATATCCAAAACATGGCCTGTCTCACAATTTTGCCCGATTAGATTTCTTATTTATTTTATACCAATAGTATTCCTATTTTATTAATATAAATATTCAAATTTAAATAATTAAAATTTAGTATATAAATATAATAAAAATATCATTCTAAAAATTATACACAGCGAGCCGTTATCACTTTTCCGGCGTGAATAAAATTGCCAGGAGCGTTGGCCTGAGCCGGCGGCGCACAAATCTAAGCATGATTCATTTTAGATTGTTTTATATAAAAACTAAAAAATAAAAGAATTTTAATTCAGGTTAGTTTGGATCAAGAATACTGAATTAATTTTATGATTGAGCATAAGCTAGGTTTATAGGGTTGGGTTGAAAAAATGATTCCTTACGTGTTCGGTTAAATAATTTATCTCTTGCAACTTGCAAGGATCAAGTAGATATTTCTTAAACTTAATTTTTTATCATATGATTTTGAATTATAAGTATATATTGTAAATATTCACATAGATAAAAATGGCTAAGAAAACTCGCGGAAAGGTTTCATTAAAAATGAATTGGTTATAGGCCTGTTTTCATACCATAAAAAGATGTTTGTTGACTCATATCTTGGGGTAATATAAAGTTATTAGCTAAAATATATCTAAATTTTAAATCATTTAGGAAAATATATATTATAGATCTATCGTGCACCACAATTCTTTTAATGCAGATCGGGCAGTTTAAAGTCAAATATAATGTTGTTTATATTAATAATTAATATTCGCAGATGTGCTTTTTTATAAAATATATTTTAAAAAAAAACAATACATTTCTGTACATATCATTCCTAACACCATATGAATTTAATCTGACAGTTGACATATTTAATTCTCATCATTTAAAATATGACAACATTTAATTCGACATTGGCATAATTAATTAAATAAAATGCAATATATATGAAAAAAAAATGGGTACTACTCACTCAAGGCGTCAAATAAATGGGGAAATATCTCCTGTTTCATCCTCAAAAGATAGCCCTTATTTTGATAAGGTAGGAGGACGAAAATTATTTTTTACCAGATCAAATATGTCAGATGATGAAAGAACATCAAAGCATAAAAAGGTAACATTATACAAAATATTTATAATAAAAAAAACATGAAAAGAAAGAGGATTCTGAGGGTACCCTGAATAGAAAAAGATCAAGCACCATTAGTGAAGGTAATAAAGGTGGTTTGGTTGAAAGTCAGACTCCTAGAAATATTTATACGGTGTTTAGATGGGATAAAGGAGGAAAAAATGTTTATGTATCTGGTAGTTGGGATAATTGGAAATCAAAAATTCCACTTGTACATAGGTATGTCCTATAATAATATAATCTATCTATCTTTTATAGCCAAGGAAATTTTACAACTATTCTTCAGATACCTGAAGGAACACATCAATATAAATTTTATGTGGACAGTAAATGGCTTCATGATGATAAACAAGTTTTAAATTAATATATCTATTTAAAATTTTATGTAAAATGTAATTACAACATAACAATAATCCGGGTGAATTAAATATTGAATGATCACTTATAAAAAAGTTTGTAAACATTGTTTTATAAGATATCATAGAACTGGCTGGTTAATTTATAGGATATGTTACTGAAAACAAAATTAGATCTGGTATATCTTTAGCTTTATTAGTTAAAATAATTTAAGGAATACAAATTTATCTAATTTAAGTTTATCCAGAAATTACAAATTATAAGTTAAATTATTTTTTAAAAAATGCAAATTTTAATATATTATCTAATGAATCGAATATATTTTTTATAGAGATTATTGTTTTTATAAGCTCCAAAATAAATAATAATCACACAAACTAGGAATGGGGATAATTTTTTGGAATGAATATTAGATCAAAATAATGGTAAAATTTTTTAAAAAAATGTTGACCAGGCTTAAAAATAATTATTTAATCTTGGTTTCACTGTTTATTTTATTTTAATATATGCCTAATCTTAAAAAAATGATGCAATATTGTGTAATTATAATTATATCTTGCCCATCATGCTTTTTGCATCCACCATTGTTTTAAAAGTATTTCTAAACCCACCCTCTCAATGTTTAATTTTATTTAAGGGGTCAACTAAACCTGGCCTATTGCAGACCTCATGTTTATATTATATTTAAAATAGAATATTAGAAAGTTGTGTCTATTTTTAAAAATAAATGCATAGGGGAGAATGATGGCCTTAGAGCTGTTGGAATGGTCATACATTATAATGCATATATACCACAAATTTAAAGTGATCAAATTTCTTATAAAAATTTTATTCATTTAATTTCTTAGGTGTGAGATATATGTTTGTGCTCCCTAATATTTAAATATTATTAATATTGTATTGTATTTCTGTTCTGAAAATTTTAAAACTTTAATGCCCAACAATGAATAACTTTCACAACTTAAATGATTAAAAATCATGTGCATAATTTCGTAATTAGTAAATAAATGAATGAATAATTTCAAATCTTTATAATCATATTTTACCACTGTATATATAGATTTTGAAGCTATAATATATTTGCTTAGTCAAAATAAGATTGGATTAAATGGCTAACACAATATTTTAGCTAAAAAGTATTACACAACTGATTATCCTTCTCATAGATGATATAAAGATTTGAATATCTATTAGCAAAATTTTGTTATTAGCAATATATTTCTAGCTAAAATATTGAGTTAACTGTTTTTAAAAATTAACTCAAATTGAGCCGTTTAACAATACTATCTTGGACATCTATTACCGAAATATCGATTATTTTGGCTAAAATCATCATTTAAAATTTGTTAAATCGAGCTGTTTAACAACACTAGATTGAATAAAGATTAAATAAGGTAATTTATTTAAAATTAAAAATATACAATAAAATAATTTAATATCAATATGGATAAAGTGTCATTGATTTTTTTTATAAAAAAGTCGACCATTAACAATGACTTGGGAACCCAAAATAATGTCATCGAGGTCAAAAAAACGGATTTTGAAGTTTTCGACGCATTAGCCGTAGACATTGCTTCTTTGCGACATGATAAACATATCAACTCAACACGTAAATGCTATAAAATATTTTAATATTTTTTTAAAAAACAGTCAATGGGTAATTTTTTGGTGTATTTTAAGAAATTGGCCCACCGATTATACCCTTTTGTTCTACTGAGGATGTATTACCTCTCATGTCTATCATTATGTTTGAAATTTTTATTTTATTGATAAATATTCCTAAACTGCATAATATTTTCTTCAATTAACAAGCGGCTTTAAGTGTCAAATTGGCATATCAAAAATTAGAGCTGTGCCAATATTAAATAATATTGAATCCAATCAAACCCACCAATTTATTTAAAGGTCGGGCCTATATATTTTTTCCAAATCGATCCAATATTAACATTTTTGTGTTTTTCCCTCAAATACTAATTCCTTATATGTAATAAACTTATCAAAAAAAATTTTTTGAGTGGGTGAACATTTATATTTTTCCTTTATCATAGATATTTGGTGTGGAGCTTCACATATCTTTTTGATATGTCATTCAAATAAAAATAAATGATAAGTTCTTAGTTTAAAAACATTTTCTTGCGTTATATACTTTTTGTTTTTGAATTTTTTATAATCTAATTTTTATTATTTATATAATCTTATTTTTGTTATTTGTTATAATCTAATTTTATTTTATAAACGGCGTAACCTTACTTTTTTAATATTATTTTACTTTTTTGTATTTCGTTTATATTCTAATTTGGACTTATAAAAAATGTATATAATAGAAGTGTGAAATGGAAAAAATAGTATTAATAGTATTAATAAATTAAATATAAATAAACACCTTTTTACCTTTGTGCACATATACATGTTACTCTACATGGTGCTCCAGTTTTGGCAAAAGAAACTCGCCTCATGGAAATTTTTTTTTAAAAATAAAATTTTTTTCCCTTTGTAAATATGGTTAATAAAAAAAATTATAAAATGGTACAAACAATTCTATATAAGATGGATAAAAAAAGGGTAAGTCATTTCAAAATTATTTTCATCAATTATGTTCGCCTTCAAAGTACTAAATGTACCCCATCAAATTTCCATCTACGATATTCTATTTGATTTAACTTATAATTGCGATGTCAACTTTTCTAGGATAAACGGTACGGAGGATGTACTGTTTGAATTTATGAATTTAAGAGACATGATAAATTGCTTTGAATTATTAAACGGGAAACACTATATTTACAGCGATAGTGATTTCATTGAATTAATTTGTATATTCGTTAAAACATAAATATTTATACCAAAACTTTAATAAAAAAATAAATGTTATAATTGCTTATTGCCGTTATCAGTAACTATAGTTTCAGGTATTCCGTATAGCGAAATAGTTTTAAAGATTTCTTTTAAAGTAACATCAGTCGTAATATTTTTAATAGGAATAATAATTGGAAATTTGCTGTAGGCATCGACTATTATCAACCAGTTTTTTGTGAAAAACGGACCCGCATAATCTATATGTATCCTTTCAAACGGTTTGGTTGCCGAAACCCATGGTTTTTGTATCTTTATAGGATTATCATGATATTTATTACAATCGGCACAACTTTTCACTTCCATAACGATATCATTATTTATACCAGGCCACCACATGTATTCTTTGGCTAAGGATTTGATTTTTCCTGCTCCCAAGTGACCTTCATGTAATGACTGTAGTATAGTTTTTCTCATAGAAGACGGAATTATGATTTTATTGCTTTTGTAAAGACAATCCTTAATTATACTTAATTCCAATTCAATGTTTTTATAAATATTATTCATTATAGGTCTGTTGTTATTAATATCATTTATGACTTGTTTTAATTCCGTATCTTTCAAATTTTTATCACGAATTTGATCAAAGTTAATAGGTAAATCCTCATATTCATTTATTATGGTTACATCTTCAATAGTTTCATCACGACATTCTTGTGGTAATCTTGAAAGGCAATCAGGAACAACATTATATTTACCAGCTTTATACTTTATATTAAAATCATATCCTCCTAATGTAATATTCCACTTCTGGAGTCTTAACGACATGGTGCTATTATCCTTAAGACCCTTGGTGAAGATGTGAACTAGAGGCTTATGGTCAGTAATAATTGTAAATTTTGTGCCGATTAAATATTCCTGAAATCTCTTCATAGCGAACATTATAGCGAGAGCCTCACGCTCAATATTGGTATAGTTCATTTCAGACTTTAATAAAGTTCTCGACGCAAAAGCTATAGGTTTTTCTTTACCATCTTTTTCAATATGAAATAGTACAGCTCCTAAACCACATTTTGATGCGTCAGTGGCTATCCCTATAGGTAATTCAGGGTTAAAATATGTCAAAGCAGGTGGAAGGCTAATTAACTTCTTTAGATCATTAAAACTTTTAGAGTGTTCTAGGTTCCAAGCCCATTTTTCTTTATTGACAATCTTATAAAGAGGATCGGCAATTTCCGCAAAATTGTTCAAAAATTTTCTATAGTAGCCAGCCATTCCCAGAAATGTTGATAATTCAGCAGCTGATTTTGGTTCTGGCATATTAATTATTGCTTCAATTTTGTCGTGATTAGCATGAATACCCTTAGCGTCAATATCATGACCCAGGAACCTCACTTTGTTTTTAAAGAACACACTTTTATTAAAGTTAGGTATTAGCCCAAACGATGATATTCTATCAAACACTTTTTTTATGTTGTTTAGGTGGGCTTCATCGTTTTTTCCAGTTATAAGTAAATCATCAATATAAAATATAACGTCATCCATGTCACCGAAGATTTGATCCATAATCTGTTGAAAAATTGCAGATGAGGTCTTAAGCCCAAAAGGAAGTCTAGTAAATTGGTAATATCCCTTATGCGTAGATATGGTTAAAATGTTTCTGCAACTTTTATCAATTGGTATCTGTAAGAAAGAATTTTTAAAGTCAATCTTCGTAAATTTCTTTCCTTCCAAAAGTTTAGCAATTAGATCATTTAAAGTCTTCTAGAGCTGGGTTTACAGTATCCTTAAAATCAGCGCAAAGCCTAATGCTCCCATCTTCTTTGTAGACAGCGGTAACAGGACTTGCCCATCGGACATCATTCACCGGCTCAATTATTTTATCATGTATCTATTTTTTGAGTTCATTACTAACAAGATCAATTTTTGAATAAGGGATACGTCTAGGCGGTATAATTTTAGGTTGGGCATCACTTCTTAAATGTAACTTGACACTTGCTCTGTTGATTGGCCCATTAGTCAATTTCGATTCACACTCTTTAATCAATTTTTAGTATTTCATCTTCGTAATTAGTGTCAATATTTGCTATAAATTTATTTAAAATATTTTTGAAAGCATTGATCCACGTACGTCCCAACAAGGCATTTTTACTTGATTTAACGATACCGCTTGTAAATATTTGGAAATACCATCATAAGTCACTTTAACTTGAGTAGTTCCTATGATTTTGATTAAATTCCCGTCATAAGCAGTGAGTTGTAGCTCGGATTTCTTAAGATCTCTAATACCAAGTTTTTTAGCCAGACCATGAGGTATGATAGTGTATTTGGATCCAGTGTCCACTTGCATACAAGTAACAATGTCGTTCACTTTTAAAGTAGTCATAAAAGCGTTATCTTTGTCATTAATCATATCGCCAGATAAATTGTTGACATTAAAATCATTATCATCTTTGTTCTTTGTAGAGTCGCCTTTTTCTTCAATAATTTCTTCAATATTCATGTTGTAATCATTATTGTATTGTATTTGCTTTCTATTATTTTCGTCGCCACTTCTATAATTATTTGAGTTGTTATATTGTATTTGCTTTCTCTGATTATTATCATTACCTCTATAATTATTTGAATTGTTGTAATAAGATTGGTAATTGTTACGATTTCCGTCACCGTATTGGATTTGTTTTCTTTGATTATTATCATACCATGTATTATTTCTACCATAATTCGATTGATTATTATTATTATAGCGATATTTGTTATAGTTATAATTGTTATAATTATCGTGGTATCGCGAATTATTATTACCATAATTGTATCTAAAATTATTATTGTAATTCCCATTTCTATATCTATTATCATAATTATTTCTAAAATTATTATCATTTCTACTGCAAAAATTTTTATCTTTATCGGACTTTATATCCTTATTTATATAACTTATATCATTATCCTCCGACTTAATATTACTAGAATCCAATTTCACCCCTAATTCCACCATCTGATTCAATGTAAGGTCAAAATTTTTGGAGAATTTGTATTTAATCTTATCGTTTAAGGTAGATGTCCGTAATTTCTCTTTTAATCTACTATCGTCCAAAAAATTACATTTCTTATGAAGTTTCGATACTCTAATGTACCACAGCATAAAACTCTCTGATGAGTTTTGTTGAAGAAGATTAAATTTATTAATTAAAGTATTTAAATTTAGCGCTGGTAAAAGATAGGTTAACTTTTTAATCACAATTTTAAGATCTAAAATATCGGTATCAAAACAAATTGCCTTAATGTCGTCAAAAACTTCGTCTGATAAATTATTAAGCAAAGTATTAATTTTAATAGAGTCCGTACTGGTCGAAAAGTAATTTAATATTCTGTCTAAATAAATTTCAGTAAGAGGACCCACTAACTTAGGGATCTTATGTGTAAATTCTTGTTTAATTTCCATATTTAATTAATAAGACACATAAATAAGCAATTATAACATTTATTATTTTATTAATTCAAGTTTTGGTATAACTATTTATGTTTTAACGAATATACAAATTAATTCAATGAAATCACTATCGCTGTAAATATAGTGTTTCCCGTTTAATAATTCAAAGCAATTTATCATGTCTCTTAAATTCATAAATTCAAACAGTACATCCTCCGTACCGTTTATCCTAGAAAAGTTGACATCGCAATTATAAGTTAAATCAAATAGAATATCGTAGATGGAAATTTGATGGGGTACATTTAGTACTTTGAAGGCGAACATAATTGATGAAAATAATTTTGAAATGACTTACCCTTATAGAATTGTTTGTACCATTTTATAATTTTTTTTATTAACCATATTTACAAAGGGAAAAAAATTTTATTTTTAAAAAAAATTTCCATGAGGCGAGTTTCTTTTGCCAAAACTGGAGCACCATGTAGAGTAACATGCATATGTGGTGCATAAAGGTAAAAAGGTGTTTATTTATATTTAACTTTATTAACACTATTAATACTATTGCTAAGTGCGATATCTGGGTCTATTTTAATATTCCTTTTCATATGTGTTTTGAACGTTCTAACCATGCGTTCAACCTGGCCATTGGATTGCTGGTGATAAGCAGATGTAGGCACATGTTTAATACCAAAATTGTTGCAATTTTAAGGTCATGAGTTCAATCCTCACCCGGAGCACCATGTAGAGTAACATGTATATGTGCACAAAGGTAAAAAGGTGTTTATTTATATTTAACTTTATTAATACTATTAATACTATTTTTTCCATTTCACACTTCTATTATATACATTTTTTATAAGTCCAAATTAGAATATAAACGAAATACAAAAAAAGTAAAATAATATTAAAAAAGTAAGGTTACGCCGTTTATAAAATAAAATTAGATTATAACAAATAACAAAAATTAGATTATATAGTTACTCTACACATTTTAAAGAGTTGTATTCAACCAATGAACGCGATCATTGTTGATAATGCATAAAATATCGATAAGTGAGAAACAAAAAATTTGAAAATGTTTCCTCGATTATGTCCATAGTTTACAGTTAGTTGTTTTTTTGCATAAAAAATATTGATTTCATTTGTTCAGGTCAAGGATAGATGGTAAATACGTAAGATGTACTTTTTTTTATCGAAGATTAAGAAAATTACTGAACATTCATCACTTTTTTTAACTTAATATATTCCCTCCCGGACACTCCCCATTTTTATTAGCTCTAAACTTCACAAAATAAAAGTTTACAAAGAGGAAAATAATAATTAATAATAAGCATTATATAAAAGACTTCCGATAATTAGAGAGAAAACAAAATATAAATCTCAAATTTTAAAATCTCCCTCATTTAGCGAGAATTAAATTTTTAAACTAATTTTTTCCTCTATATTTCATATTTTGAATCTTTAATCTAAACCAAATTAAATTCCTTCCAGCGTCACCTGGATCCTTATTAAAAAAAAATTTCTTTGTTACAAGCTGTATAACCAAATGTAGGTAAACAAATACAAAACTTTGAACTTTTTGTAATGTACTTTCCTTCGTTAATTTTTTTATTTTTTATCGAAATATTGAATTATTTTTCCGTTGAACTTTATATTTCTTACTAGTGGTTTTTCTCTGTCTCTAACATTGTATATATATATTTTAAAACTACTCATTATCACCTTTTTTCGAAAGTTGGATTAGGAGATAGGAAGTTTTTTAGTGTCCTTCTACGGAATGTCCCTTCCTATGATTAAGAAATGATATCTCTTATAAAACCCTTTTCTGCTTTAGAAGAAACGTTGATTACCGCTAAAATAAATTTAGGTTTTACACTACCTCTTCTATGTTATTGGCCACCATTGCTAATATCTAATTAAGACTATATAAATCTTTATTAAATCTGTGCTATTTTAATTATTAGAGTAATACATATAAATTATATTTTCACTCTGTTAACAATTGCAAAAATTCTGTGTCAAATATGGAATATCAAGATCACTCATAATGTCTAAATATTAATTAACAGTTGAAGCTTAATCGATTTAATATTATTTAAGTTATTTTTAAATCTTGTTTAATTAAATATAATCATTCATTAATTGAAAATAAAGCACTCCTTTTTAAATTTAATTTACTATGACTTTACCTAAGAAAATTTCTAAAATTTAAACCAGTATATTATTAAACTTCTTTGTCAAAACTCTAACTATATTTAATTAATATATCTTTATAAATTTTATTTTCACTATGTTAACAATTGCAAAAATTCTGTGTTAAAAATAGAATATAAAGATCATTCATAATGTCTAAATATATTAATCAAGCATTAACAGTTGAAGCTTAATTGATTTAATATTATTTAAGTTATTTTACAATTAATTTAAAATTAAATTAATCCAATTTAATATTATGATTTGTGTTAGCAAAGTTCAAAATCAATAATCAACTAAATTATTCATTTTTAAGTTTAATTTACTATGCCTCTTTCTTAGAAAATTTCTAAAATCCAAATCAGTATACTGTTAAAACTTATATATTACTTCAAATGTAAGATTATGTATTCTAAGATAATATTCTATATTATTGGCGACAGTGGCTAACATCTATAAATTTTATTATTCAAATAAGTATGAAATGTAATTTTGCAATTAACTTACATTTTTTAATTTTTTCTCGCTTCAGATATGGCGGCCATTTTTTGAATATGTTATTTTGAAGAACTTTATAAAACATACTCAATTGAGCAATGCTATTTAGTGGTCAACCGTTATTTTTTTATTTGGACAAAATTATGCGTTTTAATGATCTCCTTAAGGTTAAGCATCTTTAAATTTATTTTTAACTAAGTTTTTTTAATATATTCCAAATTGGTTTTTATATAATTTTAATAATAAACTTATTAGTATAATTAGAACTATTTTTACATCTTTTAGTGAAGTTTTATAAAATAATGTAATTAACATTATAATTATCATTATACAATACATTAATTAAAATTCTTTTAATCTTTTTATTTAGAATTTATTCCATTTTCTTTTAATTTTGGCCATGGTTATATATTTTAGCACTTACATTGGCCTCATTTTTATAAAGGTATCTTTTCCGTCCAAATATTTAACATTAGAGCATTCTGTATTTTATTTGACTTCGATAAAGTCACTAAATATATTTATGTTAAAGGGTAAGGAAAAAAAAACAAAATGTCGGAAAATTTTCAAAATATTTTTTTTTTCAACGAAAGAATATTTCTTGCTTTTTTTAAAATATTAATTATAAGAAAAAAATATATAAATTTTAAAAAAATGGTATCATTTTACTTTTCCATATAAGATTGGAAGGAATTATAATAAATAAAATTACATACCTATTATGAGCGATATACATAAGCGGTAAAAAGTGCAAAACACAACTGAATTAATAAATTTTTAAACAAAAAAGGATTATTAAAAATATAAAAATTAGTTTTACATAATTTTGGGTTGATTATATATTTTTTTACTCCCACATAAGTTATTCACTATTTATTCTTGAATCAAAAATTCTTGAATAAAAATTAACAATTAAAAGGGAATTAGAATCAATTAGCAAATAGAGAAATTTAAATCACCCACTCCTTCCCCTACTTCCTTCCAATCTCGATGCCGATTTTGCATCATACTACCCCCCCCCCCCCATATGGTAAACCAGATTTTTAATAGGAAACTGTCGTGATTTCAGCTTTTGGTACCTTTTACTAATGTAAGAATTTGGTATCTGTGAATCTAACAAAAACTATTGTAAACATTCAGTTATCGAATCGGGTTGGGGTGAATATCTGATCAGTGAAACATTTGTAGATCGACATCCTTGGTAAATAATCATTCATATTAAGAGACAGCTAGAACCAACCTTATCCAAAAACATGACCCCCCCCCCTCTATAATATAAAATCAGGCGACTATTTGTAAATACGATAATATTAAACAAAATAGCTTTTAAAAATAAGTATATTTTAAACGAATACTTGAGTAAGTAATATAATTTTAAACAATAATATAACACCCCTTTAAACCCAATCACTTTCATCCCCTTCTCTTATTTATTTCTTTAAAAAGAATTTTTAAAAAAAAAACTTACACAAAACTTATCGATTTAATTAAGCCCATCTTAAGTCTGATCCATTTTGCCCCGAACACCTTAACAACTCCATTTTAAATTTTTTTATAAAACCTACCTTCTTTATGTTAATAAAAAAAACACCTAGGAATAGGATATTTAAAATCCTTGTTAACTTTTTTTTTTAACTGTTAAATTATTTTAGCACCTCCTAGCCCAAATTTTTCCTCCACCTTGGATGCACCCCCGAATCCGGATCTGCCATACCTCGAAGACGCTCACGAACTCCTGCAATACGGGCAAAGAGTTCCTCCCAGAATCGCGGCCGCCGGCGGGGCCACCCCTCCATTCTTGCCCCCTCAGCTCCTTCAAGTACCGCTAAACAGGGACATACCCTATAACTTTGAGCCCGCTCTATTACCGGAACCGGCTACTCGGGCTGTGCTTAATCATTTGTACGCCTTATCCATCAAGGTTTCATATTAGAATATATCAACATTCTCAAATAAGAATAATGATTATGGTCGAGATCAGCATAAAATCATATGAAATTTATTATTAGATAAGATTTTTTTAATAATATTTATAAGGGTTATTTGTTTATAGAATCGCCATGTGTATTTAGTTTATATTTTATTTTCCTTTCTATTTTTCTTTTCTTCCAAAAATCATAATTTGGATTTACTTCAAGGATGGTGTTTTGGTGTTAAGTTGCACACATAGGCATAAGAAAAAGTACGTAACAACCCTGTTCTACAAGCAAGTAAAATCCTGAAATCTAGCTATTTTTATGGAATCAAATCAAATTTATTAACCAGTTACGACTTATGAATAATATATTATTTATTCTTCTTTTTACCTTAATTTAATAAGATTTTTCTTAAAATTTCAAAAAAAAAATTATTTTTTGATATTTGACAATGGAAAAATTTTTTTTTTTTCCCCAGAAATAGTTTATGACAAATAAAATCTATGTTTTAAAATCCTCATATTTTTTTTAAAATAAAAATATCGTTAATAATATTTTTATATATATTATGCATAATCGACTACTATTAGAAATCTCACAATAATGATAACTCACTTTTTCACTGTCACTTATAATATTAAATTTTTTTAAAATATATATGGGAATAATTGATATAAGGCAATATTATTTACAATAAGCATTTTTTTTTAAACTAAATTTCTTAATGTTTTTTAATAATAAATTATTTAACATACAAAAGACTGAATTTTTATTAAAATATCATATGTATTTTGATTTTTAATATTAATTTAAAATGCCATCACTGCATCAAATAATATCTATGTATTTTTTTTAAACACAAATTATTGGAATTTATAATAAAATAGCTTTTCATTTTATTTTAAATATTGTTTTTGTAAAAAAAATATCCCAGGTATGACTTTTTTAAAAAAAGAAAGATATATATTATATTGCCATATAATTATAATTAATATTGATCATAATTGAAAATTATTGTTTTGATTACACCATGTTATAACCAAAAATATAGATTATTAATTCTCTTTTGCGTTTGCAGGACTCTTACATAACCTTTTTTTGTAGTGTTGTTAAACGGCTTGTTTTGAACCGATTTTTAAAAACGGCTAACTCAAGCCAGAAAAATATTGACTAAGCCTCGAGATTTCGATATTATATGTCTAGACCTTTGTTCCTTCTATGAGCAGAATCTTCAGACTTACGTAATATTTTTCTGGATAAAATATTGAGTTAGCCGTTTTTAAAAATCGGCTCAAAACAAGCCTTTAAACAACACTGTACCAATATGGGATTGATATTTATATTGCTGAGGCTAGTGGGAGAGACTGAACATAATGCAATATATATAAATTATTGAATTTGGTAATCTTACTGAATACCCAAAAATGATTCTCTTTTATTTCAAATCTTTTTATTTTATTCCACTTTTAATATACCAAAAAAATTATAATTTCGTAAAAATTCATAATAGAAATAAGTAATGAAAAATTATATATTTCTTTTTCAACTATAATCTAAAATATTCATATTCATAGACATTTTTAAAATAATTATATTTATTTGCATACGATGAAAGTTCGTTTATATAAATTTGAATACCACCCAATTAAGAAGGGCTCAACTAAATATATATTTGCATACAATACCTCCACCCTTTAAGATTATCTTTCCAAGGCTTCCTTCGTTAGTGCCCCACCTTCTCGCACTTCCAACTCTGAACCGTTCATTGTCGTCGGACAAAACCTTAATTTATGCATTCCCCCGCATGCCCAACATGCGAATCGACTCTTCCGAACCCAATATGGCTCCACTCGTTCTATCCTTTGTCTTCTGGGTGTTTCCTGTAGTAACTCTCCGTATCTTTGTTGCGCTTCTACCCTTGCTGCTTCGTTCCATCTGTTGGATTCGGCCGATCCATCTGCTTCCCTGATTTCCATCTTGATAATCTTGTTTCTTACTCGGACATATGATGCCATCTATAAAATTTCTGTAAAAATATATATCTTTCCTGATATTCTAATAATCTACTAATCACCTTATAATATCTTCACCGTTTAAACCCTCATAATTAGGTCTATCATTAAATTTATTTCCTCGAGAATGATTATTCTCCTCATTGATCTCTTGAAATTATGATTCTCCTAATTATGTCTATCATCAATTTTCTTTCATCTAACGATATGATTCTCAAATTAGGTCTATCATCAATTTATCTTCTTTTACTTGTATCCCCTGATAAATTATGATTCTCATCATTATGTCTATCATCAATATGATTCTCCTAATTATGTCTATCCTCAATTTATCTCTTTAACAATTGATTCTCATAATTAAGTATATCATCAATATGATTCTCATAATAATGTCTATCATCAATTTATTTCTTTTAATTGTATCCCCTGATAAATTATGATTCTCATCATTTTGTCTATCATCAATATGATTCTCATAATTATGTCCATCCACAATTTATCTCTTTAACAATTGATTCTCATAATTAAGTATATCATCAATATGATTCTCATAATAATGTCTATCATCAATTTATTTCTTCTAATTATCTCCCATATCTTTTACTTGCGCTAAGCTTCTCAGTCTTACTTGTTTTACGTGTCTAGTAAAAGTGCCTTCTTGCCCTTCAATCTCTACTTCTATTTTCTTTTTTCCTATATTCTTACTTATTATACCCTTCCCCCATTTAACTGGACCCTCAAACAGTAGAATCCATACTAGACTTCCAACTTTAAATTTATCATCATATGTATCCTCATTTTGCTTTATTCTTTCTTTCAAAAAATCTAATTCCGTTCTTGTCTTTCTACCTAAAAACATTTCTGATGGTGAATTTCCTTTGCTTGTTTTAGTATTGTTATATGCTAATAATAACAACCACCATTTTCCCTCTCCACATTTTTCTTTTTTTAGCCAGCTTTTAACAATAGCTACCATTCTCTCGGCCTGCCCATTACTTCTCGGGTAATGTGGTGGCGATACTAAATGTTTAATATTCCACCTATCACAAAATTGATTAAAAACTCTACCTTTAAATGCTGGGCCTCCACCCGAAACTAAAGTTTCCATTAATCCATATTTACCTGCAAAATCTTTTATTTTAGTCAACGCTATCTTCGTCGTTAAACCCGAAACCTGTTGACAATCTATCCATTTCGATCCAGCATCTACCATAATAAAATATCTTCTTTTTTCATATTCTAAAAAATCTACATGTATTCTTTTATATGGAGTGTCCGTTTCTGGCCATTTATCTGCTTTATTCCTTGGTGGTACATTAGCCCACATGTTACATGTCTCGCAGCTTCTAGCTAATTCTTCAATTTCACTATTCATCTTAGGCCACCAAATATATTCTCTTGCTTTATTCTTCATTCTTTCTATGCCTTGATGTCCTGAATGTAATACGGCTAATGTATCTTTTCTTAACTTAATCGGTATCACTAATCGATATCCTCTCAATAAACAATTGTCTTCTATATTTAATTCATTCCTTATATTTTTAAAAGTTTTGTCTTCACCTTTCCATTCTGCCTCTCCTTTCAAACAAGTTCTAATTCTTATTAATTCTTCATCTTTTTGGGATATTTCCTCTATTCTTTCAAACGTTATCGGTTCTTCTCTTGTATCTATCTTCAAAGCTCTTATAACTTTACTATTTAACATTTCCTCCTCTTCTATATATTCCAAACTATTGATTACTGTATCCTTGTTTGTACTGTCTTTTTTAAACAATCTCGATAATATGTCTGGTAAACAATTTTGTTTACCTGCTCTGAATCTTATTTCAAAATCGAAATTACCAACTAAAATTAACCATCTCTGTAGTCTTGGTGACATCATAAGTTCTTTATTTTCTTTTTTGAATAAATCTACCAACAGCTTATGATCCGTATATAAAATAAACCTTCTTCCTATCAGATATTCTTTGCACTTCTCTAGCCCGAATTTCACAGCCAGAGCCTCTCTCTCGATCGTGGAGTAATTTTTCTCAGTGCTACTAAACCGTCTCGATAAAAATAAAATCGGTTTCTCAACCCTATCAGTCATCTGTAATAAAACTCCTCCTATACCTTCATTAGATGCATCAACCGCTAATATAATATCCAATTTCTCATTAAAACAATTTAAAATCGGTTTCTCTACCATCTTAATCTTCAATGTTTCGAAACTTTTCTCTTGTGTTTCTCCCCATTTAAACTTTTTATTTTTCTTTAATAAATCATACAACGGTGAGGCGATTTCTGCAAAATCTTTAACAAACCGATGATAATAATTCGTTGCTCCCAAAAACGCCTGTACTTCCGTTTTATTATTTGGGGCTCTCATATTCATTATCTTATCTATATTCTTTGCAATTGGCTTAATTTCATCTCCCTTTATAATATGTCCTAAATACTTTATATTTCTTGTTCCAAAAACACTTTTATTAATATTAGCTTTTAAACCATTTTCTAATATAATATCTAACACTTTAACTAACCTAGCATTGTGTTCTTCTTCTGTTCTACCAGATATCAAAACATCGTCTAAATAATACATTATTCCCTTTATTCCTTGAAATAATGCCGCCATCGTTCTTTGAAATATTGGAGCTGATACTTTCAAACCAAATGGTAAACGACAAAAAGCAAATAATCCTCTATGAGTTGTAATCGTTAATATCTTACTTGTTCTCTCACTTACCTTTATTTGTAAGTAAGCATTCGAAAAATCTATTTTTGAAAAAATTGTTGCTCCTCTTAAATTAGCCAGCAATTGTTCTATTCTAGGTAATGGATATCATTCGTTAATTACCCACGGGTTAACTGATACTCTATAGTCTATACACAGTCTTAAACTGTTGTCGGTTTTCTTATAGGAACTAACGGTGTTGCCCATAACACTATGCACTATTGGTTATATAATTCCTTCTTTTAACCATTTGTCTAATTCCTTATTTATATCTTCTATCCACGAAAACGGCAATCTTCTTGTGCTGCAATATTTAGGTCGATAACCTTGTTCTAATCGTATATCTACTTCAAAATCTCTAAGAGTCCCTAATTCTTCTTTAAAGACTTCCTTATATCTATTCAAAATAATCTTTATTTCTTTGTTAAAATTGTCCTCAACAACATTCAGTTCTACCCTTTTATTAATTCCTTGTTGTTTATCTTCGACTGTATTTACCTCTATTGTCATTATATCTCTTATTTTCTTCTAAGTTACTTCTATATCTAATTAAAAATTCTGGTGTTCGATTTTTGAGTTCATCGAGAACTATGTCCTGTTTAACTCTTAAACAATGTAAATCAGTCTTCTCTTTATTCTCACTTCTTATTATCTTATTCGTTATTTTGTTTTTCTCACGGACATTTTCAAACTAGGACCACCAATTATAATCAGGACCTATCTTAATGTCATTCCAACCTAAAATAGGCTCTATCTTAAGTGTCGTAATCCATAACTTTACTTCCTTATTTATATATAACAATTTTATCACATAAAAACCTAGAATTTTAACCATGCTACGGTCTAATTGTCTAACCTTTATTCTCTTTGCAATGAATCTTTCTTTTGGAAAATATTTATTAAAATCTTTTACACTATCCAATAAAAAACCTATTTCTGCAGCCTTTATCTTGACTCTCAGACATTTATTTTTCATTAAAAAATCCTCTAATTTAATTTTTCGTACATCTACACCCGTTGAACCTTTTATTCTATATATTTCAAAATTTCTACTTTCTATCTTTATATTTCTCTCTTTACCTATACTTTTATTATCATTATTCAAATTATAATTATCAATATTAAAACACTCATTATCATCACCGGATTTATCATTAACATTACAATACTTATTCTTACTTGAACTAAAATTATCAACATTAGAAAAATTATTATCATTACCAAATTTATCATTATAATTAAAATATTTATTCTTACCTGAATTAAAATTATCAACCTTAGAAAAATTATTATCATAACAAAATTTATCATTAAAATTAAAATATTTATTCTTACCTGAATTAAAATTATCAACTTTAGAAAAATTATTATCATTACAAAATTTATCATTAAAATTAAAATATTTATTCTTAACTGAATTAAAATTATCAACATTAGAAAAATTATTATCATTACAAAATTTATCATTAAAATTAAAATATTTATTCTTACCTGAATTAAAATTATCATCCTTAGAAAAATTATTATCATTACAAAATTTATCATTAAAATTAAAATATTTATTCTTACCTGAATTAAAATTATCAACCTTAGAAAAATTATTATCATTACAAAATTTATCATTCAAAATAAAATATTTATTACCTGAATTAAAATTATCAACATTAGAAAAATTATTATCATTACAAAATTTATCATTAAAATTAAAATATTTCTCTCTTAGTCATTTATTGCAATTTTCTTGTGTGTGTCCTTCTTGGGCACAATTATTGCACCTTACAATTGAATTGTTTACTCTGCAACTTATAGCCACATGGCCATTCTTGCCACACCTCGCGCATCTTAGATTCTTCGTTATCTCACACTGGCGCGACATGTGGCCCGGCTGACCACAACTATAGCAAATTATCTGTCTGTAATTATCCGTTCGTATGAAGTTGTTTATATTTCTTTTCTTATCTTCCTCTCTTAATATATTCTTAATATTTTCTAACTCTTTAATCTCTATCTTAACGTAAGTCGTATTTCTTCCTATAATTAAACCTAACGTGAAACTTAAAATTAGCAACAAAAATATAATTATACTTATATTTTCAAGTATTAAACTTAATAAATTTATTTGCGTAATATACATTAAAGTGTACTCAATAACCACTTGATTAAAATAATTTTAACTAATCTTAAACAATTAAATATATATAAACATACGAATAAAACCAATACAATGATCCAAAATTTATATAACATCAATAAGAAAACCGACAAAAATTTATATATATTTATTTTATATTTTTTTTTACCTAGTTCCAATGTATAATTAGACTCACCTTCGATCTTCTAAAGCCTGGATCAATCACTGTAAGGCACCACTGTACCAATATGGGATTGATATTTATATTGCTGAGGCTAGTGGGAGAGACTAAACATAATGCAATATATATAAATTATTGAATTTGGTAATCTTACTGAATACCCAAAAATGATTCTCTTTTATTTCAAATCTTTTTATTTTATTCCACTTTTAATATACCAAAAAAATTATAATTTCGTAAAAATTCATAATAAAAGTAAGTAATGAAAAATTATATATTTCTTTTTCAACTATAATCTAAAATATTCATATTCATAGACATTTTTAAAATAATTATATTTATTTGCATACGATGAAAGTTCATTTATATAAATTTGAATACCACCCAATTAAGAAGGGCTCAACTAAATATATATTTGCATACAACAAACACTACTTTTTTTGTCACATAATGTCATTTTTTTAACACACAGAATATCTCTAAATGTCAGCTCGTAATCTAATTATGAACTATGTGATTTTTTAAAAATAACTATATTATGGAATTAATTTTTAAAGCTCTCTCATCATGTGTTCAAAAACTCTGGATTTTTTTTTTGAAAAAATTTGACCATAAATATCAAAAATATATTTGATAAACTTTCGTAACTCTTAACGATAACGAAAAGAAAGAAATAAGCTATTTTTAATGTAAAAATAAAATAGTGACCAAAATCATTTTTTCGAATATACGAAAGTTTCCTAATTTTTTAAAGTTAGAGAAATTAATAAATTTTTTCGTTCTTGTGGATTTTACGAAAAATAAAAAAGTAATACAAATTATAATTTTTCAAATGATAATGCAGTTATATTAATCAAAATGGTGTAAAAAAAATTTTAATGGTTAGATTTTGGACAGTTTATAATTTTATTAAGTTTTGAAATTTTGAGGTTTATATATTGAACTTATCAAATATTTCTGGCGAAAGTGTTGTGAAATTTAATAATGGTATACCCTTTATTACGAATGCAATATAAATAAATATTATATAAATCCCGAAACGTGAGCATAAATCAATAAATTTATAAAATATATATATTTTATACCAAAATTTGAGCAATATTTATAAATTATTATTACATTTAAAAAAAAAATTTTCTACTTTTAAACAAAAAAAAAAAAATAAATCGAATTGTATTTATATTATTGGATGATGGGGAAAAAGTAGTGCGACGATTGTGGCTCAGGCTTATGCATAAAGTGGATTTGGGATTCTAGCAATGTCGGGTTGATGGAGGATTTGTCTATCGAATTTAAAAAGATATCATTTTAATATTATAATAGCATTTAAAATTGAATTACTACCGTTTTTAATAAGTTTTAAAGATATATCTTTTTTCGTCCAAAATTTGAAACAAGAATCAACGAAGATTAAAAGGGAAAGAAATATTTTTTATGATCATTTCATTATGAAATCCTAATTAGGCTGTGCCGATATAAATATCGTGGTCCAGGCCTTTTAAAAAAACCCGATCCTTTATCTTAATTTATCTTTAGTTACACTTATTTTTATAATTGTTTGTTTTATATAATTATAATATTTTTTATTTTATTTTTTAAAAAAATGAATAAATGGGGAATGGAACCAAAAATTGGTTTAATTGTTCTTGTAACTTGATTTGTTATTATTAGCCTTTATCTTTTATGGCAATTTAAAATGGACATTTTCGCAAATTTTTTTGTTAATAATATAAATAGACACGAGTTTATTAAATATTCGCCTCTTTTATTACGCGCAGGTGCGTTATGGTGCCTAAGGACTCCCTCACATGGCAAAGGGTTATCTGGCAACAAGAAAAGGATTTGAAAATATTTAACGAGTCATTCATATAAGATAATTAACATATGGGGGAATAAAACAAAAATGCACTTTATCATACCTCGGCCATAAGAAATGGAAAATTAAAAGTGTTATTTGTTTTGCCCATAGTACAGATAAAATGTTTTTGTTTAGAAAATGTGTAATTTTTATGACATTGGTTCAAAGATTGATGGTAAATAAAAAATAAATTTATTATATTGGTTATCGGATTTGTGAAAAATTTGTGAATCAACATAAGTCTAATCATCAATCGAATAAAAATTAAAATTTTGAGAAGAATTCGATCAAAAATTTTGAGTGCAAATATTCTTTTTAAAAAAATCTCTTCATTTTTTGATCCCTAAGGAGTTTTGAATAAATGAAACTTAAAATATTTGTCAAAGTCAACGATTATATTAATAATGATGTTTTTTTTAAAAATAGTTTATTACATGATGATTCATTTAGTTTTGGACTCATGTAAAGCATATCGGAATGCTGAAATTTAAAGTTGGGAATCATTCGATCGTTACTGTTATCAGTAATGCACGCGTTCCCGTTACTTTTTGGAACTTTTGATTCGTCTCTCGGCTTTCGTTTCCTAGTTTGAATGCAATCTTTTTTCATGGCCATAGGTCGATTTACCTTATTTATTTAATATTTGATTGAAAGAAATATTATATCTTGTTTTTCTAACAAAATACTTATATTTGATAGTAATTAACCATTTCATTTGATATGAGATTTATTATAAACTATATAAATAAATATCTAATTAAATAATTTTTTTATTTTTAAAGTATCAAGATAAGTCTAATCTAGATTTTGAAATAAAATTAAAAAAACACCTTTTTTAAAAAAAATATTGCAGTAATTAAAATTTCCTCTTTAAAACAAAAATATAATGAGAAAAATATGAAATTAGCAAAGGTATGCCAAAATACATAACTTTAAAAAAAAAATTTAAATGTTGAACTTGATTTTCAAAATAAAAATTTAATTTTTATCATAAACATAAATTAATAATTATATAGGTTTTTCTACCTTAATTATATTTTTTTATTAAATGACCTTACAAATTGCCTATACGGAAATCTGGTTATGTTTGTAATAATAATAATGAAAAAATGAATTCTGCTATATGAAATTATGTATGCTTAATGTCGTGAAACTTTCCCATTTTTTTACCAAATGTTAATTAAAAGAGAGATTGAATGAAATAAGTTTATATAATGAAATAATATAATAGATTCACAAAAAATACAAACTTAAATTTATGAAAGAGAAATTAAATACATTATGTAATTTGTAATAAAGTCCGCAAGCGTTGCACACGGGCTCCCCTATGCAGTTTCTTCTCCAAAGCGTGGTCGAGGTAGTCATACAATTGGCGCAATATATCCCACTTTTTTTCGATAGATTAGATGTCTTCATTTTTTTTATCCAAAAATAAACATTTAAGATTATGAAATAGAAAGGGAGTGAAGTATCAGTTATAACTTAAATATAAATGTTAAAAAACATTTTTTTTAAAAAAACTATATTGAGACATAACAACTAAAGGTCTGTATTGGGCTGGTTTTTAGCTCGCCACCCATCTAAATGGGCTGGCGGGGGTGAAAATTTTTTAAAGAACGGACGGGCGGATTAAGAAAAATATTTAAACTACGGACAGGCGGGTTAAAAAATTTGCTATTTGAAATCATTCAAGTAAACATTATAAAAAAAATATGATCCGTGAAATTTCAACATTTTTAATGCCAAAGTACAGATAACTGAGGATGTTGTCGACGGAAGAAATTAATTAGGTAAAAATTATATCAAAAACATGTTGGATTTGATTTGCTTGGAAGAATATAACATCAACGTAGATGAAAATCTGATTTTACCCGTTTCCCTGAAAGCAAAGAGAATTCAATTAAAGATTATTAAATTATAAATGCAATGTTTGAAATAGATAGCATCCAAACCTAAATTAAACAACAACAGATGGAAAGATGTGTCTGTAACAGAGGAGAGCACTAAGGACATAACATAGTATTTAAACTTTAAAATACCGAGTTTTTGTATAATTTAGCAATTTTAGGCTACTTAGTTTAGTTTAGTTTAAGTTTACAATTTATAGACAATTAATCTAATTTACTTTATTTAATTTATTATATTAATGGTTTCACTTTTTATTTAAATATCTCACTTGAGTAGAGATATACTTCAAACGGATATCCTACTTTGATGGAAACGACAAGAAAAATATTTATCAAAGTTATCAATATTTGCTAGAAAAATATTGGCAATTCCAGCAACCAGTGCTTCTTCTGAACGAGGAATAAGCATGGCTGGAAGGTTTTTAGTATCAATAAATATTAATTCTATATTATTACATAAATATTTTATTAGATCAATTCCTTATCCGTTATTTAAGTTAAATATTTTTTTATGCTTATTAATATAGCAATTTCCTAAATTATCTTTTTTTAAATTTATTTTTAAAGTATAAGTATTTTTTATTTTCATCTATATTTCAAATATTAAAAAAAAAATTAAAATAAGATTGATTATAAATATATAAAATATACAATATTTATCTTTAAAAGAAATTAACAATTAATTTATATACAAAATAAACAAATTCAAAATTTAATAAAAACATTAATGAAATATAGCAAAAAATGAGAAGAATAGGTAAAGAAGAGTAAGTCTAACGAAGATCTGTTGAGAAAAAAACTGCTATTGAAACTTCAATAATTCATTTTAAGGATAGTTAAGGCCAGTCTCTGACTGAAGGATACGCCTTTTTACAGGGCCGTAACTACGAAGGAGGGACCCACCCCCTCCAATAAAATTTTTGGGGGCCCTCAAATTTAATCCCCCCCCCCCCCATAAAAAATATTTGTCTCCAAATTTAAAAAAAAATTATTTCGTTATTAAATTTTAATATATGCCATTTAACCATTAAACACCTATATGAAAATACAATAAAATTTTTAGAAAAATATTATTTTAATTTTTACAAATTAATAAACAAATTTTGAAAACCTGAGCATAATTTTATATTTTTTATGTAGAGGAATCATTAATTTACAATGTTTTCTGCTACTGAAAGCATTACTATTTGCATTTTAAAGCAACTTAATGAATTAAATATTAATTCATCGAATATAATAAGTCAGGCATATGATGTGCAGACGTCATATGCGGCCAAAATGGAGGAGTACAAACCCTGATTAAAAAAAAATCAAATGCCTTATATTGTTGAACCACACTCTCAACACAGTAAACTCGCAGAAAACCTCTAGAAGGATTTTTTTTTCCGTGACAATTTAAAATTTTGTGGTTCAAAATTGGTAATAATATTGCTATCATTTTTAATTTTTATTTATCTAATAATTGCTAAAAAATTTTAGGCGCAGAGGTGTACTGGTCATTTAGAAACATTTCGTATCATTTATAAGAATTTTTAGGCTATTGTAAAGTATTGTTTCACTTTTCTAACAGAGCACTTAACTCAAAGGCTTCCATTCATGATTGTCGAAGCCTCTGATCTTTTATATAAATTCGCTAATATAAATTACATTATATTGTTCATTTTAATTTATAAGGTATTAAAATCAATAGATCCACTAAATAAGTACAGTGGGTACTAATACTAATATAGTGGGTGCTAAAAATTGTATTGATTCCAGAATTTATATATTAAAAAACAAAAGAAGTGATAAAATTTTTGATTTGTTAAGAATTAAGGCTGGAAAACCTATACTATATCAAAATTTAATCTCATCTATCAAAAGTCACCAAGGATACGTAAAGCTTTTAGTCGATACCATATTGCAATTTGATTGTGAAATGGACTTCGATTTAGTTCATTAAAAAAGAATTAATATATAATTATTGATTACTTTGTTCATTTTTTAGATATATCTACACAAGATGATTATAATTTTCTATCATATTTTAATACATTGTCCCCCCCCCCCAACCCTGATCATTTTATATCAGATAAGATGGCCCATTAGAATCATTATTAAACTTAAATATGGAATTGTTACTCCATGCAATGAAAATAGCAAAAGGATTATTAGCTACAAAAGTTTAAGAAACATAATTTTAAAAAATATCGTAAATATTATGTATAAAAAAAATATCATCTTGTACAATGACATATAATATACCTAGACTGACGATTCATTCATTAAAAGTGTACATCAATACAAATCAGCTGGGGACGCCATTTTGGTAACCTATAAAGTAATTATTCTCATGTAAAAAGCTGCTATATATTTTCTAATTTTTTGGAATTAAAAAAACAAATATATATTATCCTAATTTTATGATTAAGATTGATGTTATTTGTAAATATGTTATTTTAAAAAGATTTTTCAATATTTGAAGATATTTGCCACTCATATTTTCCAAGTATATTAATAATTTATGATTGATATTTGATAATGGTTTGTTTTTCATTTATGTAAGAAGACTATGAGCTTATGTGGATTTAAATTCTTTGTTAAGTATCATAGGAAAAATTTCAGATTTAGTAATAAATTAGGCTCTCGTTTAAAATTTTAATAATGATTTCTGTTACCAAAATGGCGGGTCCAGCTGATTTGCTTTTAACGACGCTTAAAAATGCATTTTAATGAATGAATCGTCAGTCTAGGTATATTATATGTCATTGATCTTGTATTTAAAGAATTCTATAAATGCTAAACTGAAGTCATTATCATGTATCAAAAGCTTTATGTGAGACTTCATTCTCTACACTAAAGAGAGTTCTATCTAACAGTAGAGAATCGATGAAAGATCGAAGTAAACAAAATTTAATAAGGCTTATGGAATAGAATTTATCTTTTAATTCATTTATGTTAAAATTTTAAGATAAAAATCGTCGTTTACAAATTTTTTAATAAAAACAAAAAATTTCTATGAGTGCCAAACTATTTGCTGTATTTCAAAAAAATATTGGCCTCCTAAGAAAGCAGTTCCCCCCCCCCCACAGCTGAAAATTCTGGCTATTGTCCTGCCTTTGGACAATTGCTAGCAAACTTGCAGATGTGAGATCCTAAATCTTTGAAGAAGCATAATGCAAGCTTAATAAAGGAGATTAAGGTTGTGTGCTGGAATAAAGATGTGATCTTCTTATATTTCTTAATATTTGGAAATTTTAAGCTGTTTTTTTTGCTCGAGTACGTTTGGAGTTAGGTTGGATAGGGCTAATGTACCCTGCAAAAAAATTTTTTTTTTAAATTCATGAAATATTAAAAAAATAAACTTTTTTTTCTTTGCATTTTACAAAAAATTTTTGACTTTTATACTTTCATTTTACAAATATATTATTATAAATGCTTCATGCTAATAATACAATAGGAATACGTTGCTTATCTAGATATAATTAAATTATAGGAAGTGAAATATTGTGAAATTTGTAGTTGTAAGTAATAATATTTTATTGTAAATAATAATTTATTAATATGCTGTATAATAGGAAAAAGTAGCTTATCTTGTTTTATATCAATTTTGGTGAAACCTCTAAAAATAATAACATATCAAGACAATGTTAAATGCCGATTAGATTTAGAAAAATTAACTAGTTTTTTTTTAAATATGAAATATTGTAAAACATAAAAATTTGAGAGCAAAACTATTTAAAATGTTAAATTTAAAAAAATAAAAACGATGGATTTAAATAGTCAATTATTATATGATTTATATATAAAATTAATTAAAATTCACTATTTTATATAAAATTATAGGCCGGGATGACCATTTCGTAATATTTATGGCAGTCCGAACATTTTTTGATTAGGGCAAAGACCTAGCAAAAAATTTTAAGTTAGGTTTTTGATGCCTGTTGAAAATTTTTATTATACCGTTTATTTTTGTAACGATCGTTCTAATATAGGCTGATTTAAGTCTCGGATTAGCTTATAAGTCTATAACCAACTCTCTATCTAATCACTACAACTAAAATGAGAGTGGGAAAGGGGGGGGGGTATGATACAAGTTGATCAAGTGGGAGGTTCGAGGAAATAGTAGTAGAGGGAGGAGTTATAGTAATGCGAAACTAATTTTGACGATGAGGAGGGGTGGGGGTAATATTGTCATATGCTTAAGCCCAAATCAAGACCTTATATTCTAATAAACAAAAAAAGGAAGGAAATCGTCAAAAATTATTTCTGCACTTCTATTTAAATTAGAATTAGATATGTAGTGTACTATTTAGGCTAAATAACAGTAAAACGCGCAAAGATTTCAAATACTTACTAAATGTTTTGAATTGGCATATTTTATTTGTGCCAGAAAATAATTAATTTATGTGTCACCTTGCTTGCTATCTTACATATCAAAAACCAGTCCTTTACTTAATCATAAATAGTGCCCTCAGTAAAAAAGATAGGAAGCACAGGTTTTTTAAAATTATGATAAATTTAATCTTATGAAATCAGAATTTTGGCGTTAAAGAGCACAAACACCAAGTCATATAAAACCGGTTAATATTATCAAACGGCTCTATTTAACCTATTTTAAATTTAGACTTTAGCCGAAATAATATTACGCAAGTCTCGAGATTTCGTTAATAGATGTCCAAACCTAACTATGAGCAAAACCTCCAGGCTTGCGTAACATATCTTTTGGCTAAAATATTTGGTTAGTCGTTTTTAAAAATCGAACGATTTAACCCCGATTTCCCCTATTTTGAAAACAGACAAACGTTACTTTAGGAAAATTTTATAGATTATATTTTTTGGAATCTTTCAAAAAGTCATTAAAAATTAAATTTTTTTAATCATGTTTTTTTTTGCTGTTTTCTTCCTATTTTTTCTATATTTGAGGAAATAAATACTATTCCTAATAATTATAATATCTTCCATATTCCGGGAAAAATGGGTAAACTTTTTTAGTAAGGTTGGAGTCCACCATTGATTTGGCATCTGTATTCCTATCCATTTCCAAGGAGTAAGAAAAGTCGGTTTCCTCGAATCTCATAGAATCAGGCATTATGTCGTTATTAGCACTCTTATGAATGTCTGAGCACAATGTTTTACCATCCTTTTCAGAAACTCTGGTTTGACTCTTATCGCAAGTTTTGTAAGTAGCATAACACTTTTGGCACAGGAGTTGTCCGGTAATAAGATCTGTTTTCCACACAGATGAATCGATATTTTCAATGTTGCTCGTAAAAGAGGGGTCGTTCCATCCACACATGACGCATTCCTTTATGTTGTATTCGACTGTGGAGTGAGATGTATTTAGCTCTGACGGATCTAATAAACAAACACAATAAGATTTATAAAATGAGATATTATTATAATTCAAAATATGTTTATAATTTTTAAGTTTTATTGCCATTCATAATTATTAATTCGTTTAAAACTTGATAAAAGCATATAGTTTTCAAGCCACCATATATAATCAAGTATAAAAATACTGGCAACTTGGCGTTAATCAGTAGGTTACCTCCAGCATTTACAATGCCCTCTTTCCCCCAAAAAAGGAATAAAATAATGACTTTTTAAAAATTATTATCTCTAAATGAAATTTATCATATAAGAAAGGGAACAAAAAAAACAGAAAAATGGTGCGCAAAACATAATTATTTTAGGAAAATATACAACCATACCTTTCAAAGGCCTGCAAAATATTTTCTCAGCGCTATCCAATAATATTTATTGGTGAAAGCCATCTAAAGTTTTCTAATAACCTCTCCGAAAAAGAGTGGGCACGCCTGTTAGTAATCGATATTATATCACTGTAAATAGGTCTTTAAATAATTTTATTACGAGTTGCGCTTAGAAGAACTTTCTTTTAAAAATTTAATCAGTAAAGTAATATCTATTTTGGGGTGACCGAGTTAGGTTGAGATGCTTGGATAATTATCAACAACACATCATATCAAATTATAAATGCCCTTTTAATCAATCAATTCTTGTTTTATTATGCTGAAGAAGAAGAAAAAAATTAATTCTTTTTTTAAATGGGGAAGGGAGTTTAAATTAAACTTTCCGTTTAAATTTATTTATTGATAAGTTTATAAGCTAAGTAAACTAATGCACCAATGTCTCTAATGTGCCCCGGTATTCCCTAGATCAAATATCTATCTAAAACAAAAGAAGGAAGATTATATACCAAATTAATATACCTTTATAAATTCCAGTGTAATGAGTTTCGAAATTGGTTCCACTATTATTATCAAAATGGTTCTCTTTGCATTTTTTCTTCGATACCTTTCTGTAATCGGATTTTTTATTTTTCTTGAGCTTGGCGGTATGTTGGTTGGAATCATAAGAGTGAGTGGATTCCTTGGTATTCGACAGATTAGGGAAATTATTGAGGAGCGCGTTCGAGTTTTCTTCGCATGGCGATCTATCGAACGAAAAATCGTCATATTTCCTTTTGGTGATTACCGGAACTTTCCAATCTATGGTATGGTGATTCGTTGAGGTACCGCCAACTTTTTCTATTCTGTACAAATTTTTGGCGCCTACTGGAGTATTATAAAGATCCTTTAACGCCTCAAGCGATTTGTTAGGATTATTTAAGACGATGTCTTCTATATTGTTATTGTCGTGGTGATTGATGTAATACTTATCTCCCCTGTTTTCGGAATACACATTTTTCGAGTTAATATTGTGATTGAGCCTTTTAAAACTCGCCCCTTCATATTCTGGCAGCTGGTATTTGTTAAATGAGCATTCCTCGTCGATTAGGGATTTGTTGGATAGATGGTATTGATGATTTTGAATAACGTTGGGTCGCGGGGAAAGAGGGCAAGGTTTCATGTATAATTGAGAAGGATCAGCGGTATGATATATATTTCCGCTGAAGGGGGGCGGTGTATCAAGAAATATGGAATCCTGAATGGGCAGCCTATGGGCTGTGGCATAAGGATTGTATTGCATTTGCATGGGATAATTGTAATACCTACCATCGATCTTCCCACCCGGATGATGATTGTTAACGAACCCGTATGGGTAAGAGGGAATATGGGCAGGTCCCCTGAAGTAATCCTGATAAGGGTGAGGGTACATCACAAAATTTCCGGGGTAATTACCGCTGTTATAATTGGTTGGAATGAATTTAGCGAAAGTTTCGTTGTTGTAAAGAATGTTGTTTTCGACGTTTTTATCTCCATGGTGAGCCCCATTTTTCGCAGCTTTGTCCACGGAGTCGATAACCATGTTGCTTCGGTAGTCATATACAGGCGGTGAAATTGGCCGTAATGTGTTGTGGGAGGAGGATCGGGCTTTGGTCGAAATCGAGCCTAGATTCGCAACAATATCGATTTGATTCTGGTATATCACGTTTTCTTCTACGAACGGCAAATAATTCTTACCCAAAGTATTCTTGCCCTTATCGCTATCGCCATCGTCGGGGTCCTTCTTTATCGCGATCTCGTTAGATTTTACGTTATCCTCGCGACTATCAACATTTTCTATCGAATTCGTTACCATGTTTAAGTTCTTGTCGGTCGTTGCTTTGAAGTAATAATCATCTTCTATAACATGCGCAGATGATCCTTTCTCTATTTTGACTTTCGATACATCGATTTTGGAGCTATCAAACAGTTCGTTTTGGTACATGTTATCCGATGAAGTGATCCTCATCTTGTTTTATGCATAATTCGTTGGCATCTAATTATGTTTTTTTTTCAAATTTTGATTAGTAATAAAAAAAATTATTATATAAATATTTTATTTACATAATGGGAACAATTCAAAATATTCTTGAATTTCATATATACAGAGGATTCCACTCATGAAACAGAGACAATAAGATTCTAACATAAATATGAGTAGAACGCTTTCAGATGAGTATAGAGGATGAATTCCACTGAAATCCCAAAGTGTTAGTTAGATTTAGAAAAGAAGAATGTAATAATTCCAATTCCACTAATCCCCACCCCGTTCCCTCCTCCTCCTTTAAAGTATAAAAGGTAAAAAAATAAATAAAATAATTTTTGCAATTTATATTTATTAAGCCAAATTTATCCTCTTAGATATTTTATTAACAATATAATCTCATCGATAAGATTAGATATCAGTTTATATAAATGCTTTACTTTGAGAATCAAAAATTATTAAAAATACAATAGACAAAAAAAAATAAAATAAAATTTAAATTATTTATAAATATAAAATTTTTACCTGAATAAGAAAAAAAATTTTATTTTTGTTTTCTTGTATTCTAAGTTTTTAAAAGTTTTTTTTAAACATTTTGAATATTTTTTTTTCCAAATTTTTTTTTATTAATAATTCTTTTTTATAAAATAATTATATTTTAATCAAACTATTTAATAAATATTTTTTTTAAAAAAAAGAAGAAAAGAAAACAAAAAAAAAATAATTTTTGAAATTATTACAAATTATTTATTTATTGATAATTTATTATCATTTTTTTTAACTAGGATTTGATTGGATCGAAGGAAGAAAAATTGGATTACTTTAAAAAACTTTTAATATGATTAATATATTTTTTTAAAAAAGATATGATTGTGAGGTTATATGTATGGTAGTTTTGTCTAATTTGATAGATTTAATATATAAGCAATTTATAATGTATTTTATTATTCCTTCATTTATTTTTATGTTTTACAAAAATATATATAATTTTAATTGTGTTTAAAAAATGTGAAAATCTCATCCCAAAATTCAAAATTTTAAGTGGAATAAATTATTAAATATCTATAAATTATATCCTATTAAAATGGAAAATTCGAATTCAGTAATAAAAACTCTTTTTTTTTATTAAAAACATTGTATAATGATGATGATGATAGTCTACATTTGTATCAAATTTGTTTACACCTATAAATTTCCTTAATTATTTTTTTGATGGAATTCTCCCACCTTTCCTGTAAATTATATCACACTTTTCTCTTGTGCGATGGTCGTGGCCCCACTATTTAATTTATATTATTACTCTATAAAATCCGACGATTTTCCAAAGTCAATCATTCTATCATTTTACAAAAGTATTGTCTCAATTTCCTCGAATTTCAAATATCTCTTTAAAACGATATTTCCTATTTATTCTTCTATTTTTTATTCATAGTAAATAAATAAAAATATTTATATAATTTAATATAAAAATATATGATAAAAATAAAAATTTGTCAATCATAAATAAATTTCAAGTTAATTGGCGTGTCATGTTAAAGTCATCCTTTTTTTTTCAATTTTCGCACGACAATTTTTTTTTTTTTATTAAAAAAAATAATAATTTAATTTATGCTTATTCCGTGTCCGTGTCATACATTTGACATTATTAGTGTCATCAAACTTGTTATTTTAAAAATATTTATCCGATTATTTATTTTGACAAAAAAATTTTTATTCACCTAGTTAAGATAAATTCGAGTTAGGAAACTAGTGTGAAGAGAAAGAGGAGAAGGATACTTAATTTACTCCATTTTGGCATTCTATTTTTCACTTTATAAAATAAGAGTCACAACTTCTTTTGGGGTAGTGATAAAAAAAAAATATTTTTTGTTCAAATGATGTTTTTTTCTATTTGAAGCGTGAAGGAAATTTTTTTTTTAGAGGTTCCCTTTATTGAAGAATCGCCTCCCTGATTTTTCCTATAATAGGAAAGGAGTTCCATTAAATTTCTTCATTAAGGTCTACTCATTATACGTATATACATGAAATAAGAGAGTTAGGCATCTATCTCTATACTAGTGTAGTTCAAAGGCTCGTTTTGAGCCGATTTTTAAAAACTGCTAACTCAATATTTTAGCCAGAAAAATATTATCTAAGCCGCGAGATTTCGATAATATATGTCTGGACCTTTGTTCTTTCTAAGAACATATTTCTGTATAAAATATTGAGTTAACCCTTTTTAAAAATCGGCTCAAAAATGAGCCATTTATAACAACACTAATCTCTACTCCCTTTAAAGCGAAGGGTACGAATTAAAAGTTTGGGGTGAAGGGTTTATTAGTCAGTCTCCATATCCGTAAATAAAATATTTATGAAACTCAATATTATCGACCATTTTTGTTAAATTAGGTGTATAAGATTTTGAGGTTATTAGAAAACCATCAAAAATTCTGAAATTTTTTTAAATAATGTTATTTGTATATCGAATTATTATCGTGTTTTAATTTTACTACCAACCATTTCACAACCATGTTAATTATATAACTTTATTTTCTAATGATTTTAATTTGAGGTGAGCCACTTTCTTTTATTTTTTGCAATAAATCAATTGTTTTATTTCATTTATTTTTTTTAAAAAGTTAATACAAAAAAAAATATCTCTTGCCTTGAAAGATTATCATGCTAAATAATCATTTAATTAAGTGAACTTGAAAAAAGAAAAAAAATTGTTTTATAAAAAAAAAATTATTATTTAAATAATTGAATATTTACATGAAACTGATTGGAGAGCAAGGCCAAATGGCCGAAATAATTACCTATAAAAATTTATAATCGAATCGGATGATTATGTTATTCGTATTCGATTCGAAGATTCTTATTCGTGTATAATTATTCGAATAGAATAATTTCTTATTTGGGCACTCGTGAATCAAAGAATTCATTATTCCGTGGATTCAAGAATATGTTTTATATCGGATTAGCTTTTATTAGTATATAAAAGAACATATCAAAGGGTGAGAGCCTAATGTTGCCTAACCTTCGGTTTCCCCACATGTTTAAATGAATGAATGACCCATTCCCAAAAATTTATTGTGAATTTACTTTATCTATATAAAAATATGTTATCTTTAAATAATGTGTTTTTATCCGGCAATGTGTTATTTTTACAATTTTAAATCATTTTTTTGAACGCGTTTTATAAAATTTAAAAATCTGATTTTATCGGAAATATATATTATCATGTTTGGAATACCTATCTTATGAATCGTAGACAATTTTTCCATTAACCTTTGAGTCTATGGCTAGTGCTATATAGTCTTTAGAATAGAAAAATTTGATTTTATTTTATCACTTTGTGTTTTGGATAAAATATTGTTGATAACAAGTTTGGCTTGTATACAAAATTTCAAACCATTTCGAAGGATATAGGGTTTGCGATAAATCAAATTCAATGGGCAAAAGATATATAAAAAATATATTGAAAATTTAATATAACTTATATTAAGTTTAAAAGTTCATGGAAAAATTGTCTTGAAATTCATAGTGTAGGTATTCCAAACATTTCAGTAAAATTAGATTTTTAAAACGCGCTCAAAAAGTGATTCAAAGTTGAAAAAATAATACATTGTCGGAAAGAAACACATTGACGTGAGAACGGGGAAAAAAAGGGTTAAGGATGATATTTTTAAACTCTAGTTTATAAATAAAATGGATGTTGGAGTTTTATTTTTGTTAAACATTAAAAACTTGAAAATAGCAACAAAAAAAAATTTGGAACATATATATATTTAGTGGCTAACTCACTATTTCATCCAGAATAATATAACTCAAGCCTGACGATTTTGTTTGTAGAAGGAACAAAGGCTTGGACATCTATTAGCAAAATCTCAAGGCCTAGGCTATATTTTTCAGGCCAAAATATTGAGTTAGCCGTTTTTAAAAACCAGCTCAAAATGAGCCCTTTTACAACACTATATATATTTTTATTTTACCGTAACCGGTTCATTACCAAAAAATGTGTCGCTTTAATATGCAATAAATCCTTATTCGTACGAACGAATATTAAATTCATCGAATATTTGAATTCGAAAATTATATTCTTTAAAAATAATTTCAAAAATGATTATAAATGGGTGAAGCGATTAGATTGGGAAGGATAAGAAAGTGTCGTAAATTTTCATTATAAGCAAAAAAAAATAATCGTTGTTTGAGTAGTGTTTGTAGCTGGCTCTAATTGATAAGTGTATACCCTATAGAACTGAATTTTAAACTAGCATGGATCGGGTTTTCCCTGAACCCAATAAATGGTTCTGTGCTATGTGGCATGATATAGAATATATCAAAAGCGACCGCGTGATTCCGTTAATATATATATAATTGAATAAAAATATGTATTTGCTCATTGTTCAGAAAATTGCTATAAGATAACTCAACGCTATCTATATATTATTTATTACCCTGGGAGATATAGTGATTTTTTTTTTAAAAAGAAAAAAGCTCACACATGGAACAATTTAATATATGTATCAGAGGTGTTTTCAAAGATACTTTCTTTAAATTAATTGTATATAAATACAGTTACATGGCACCATAATAGAGTATCTAGATACTTATACCAGGATAATTTAAATTATACAATATTTTATCATTTAGAGTAAGGTGTGCAAAATGTCAAAGCTAGGAATAAATTTTTGCACCAAAATATTTTTTTGAGCCATATAACAACACTATTTAGATCTAATTCTCTCAAATTTGATATGATTTGTACATGTATAATCTAGTCCAATATATAAAATTAATTAAAGCCACATCTAAAAAAAAATTTAATTTCTCTTTATAACCCCGGTGTTGTTGAACGGCTCGTTTTGAACCGATTTTTAAAAACGGCTAACTCGATATTTTGTCCAGAAAAATATTACGCAAACAACCTGAAGATTTTTCTCATAGAAGGACAAAGATCTAGACTAGTGTTGTTAAACGGCTCGTGAGCCGACGACTAACCTCAATATTTTATCCAGAAAAATATTATACAAGTCTAATGATTTTGCTCATAGATGGCGTGGCACATAAGATTGAACATCAATTGACGATCTCAACGCTTTGGCAATATTTTTCTAGCTACAATGCTGAGTTAGCAGTTTTTAAAAATAGGCTCAAAATGAGCCGTTTATTAACACTTCTCGGTCCCCTCTAAAATTAAAGATATGCTCCTATATTTACATTTTATTTATCTATAGACCCATACTATACACCGTGTCTGCGATACAGGACCCTATCCCCTAAGCT